CTTCCTCCCAGCACACAGAGCCCTGTACACAGAGCTCCGCCTGAGCACCTGCGCTGCGGGCAGAGGGAGGGAAACAGAGCCTGGCAGAGCACACAGTGCAGGAGTGTCTCAAGTAGGACCAGTGATATGCATCACTTGGAATAGCCTGCTGCAAACACAAGGATACACACAAGGATGGAGCCAGACATTATCCAGATAAAGTGGTTTCTCTCTCAAAAACAACAACAAAAAAGGAACAAAGAAAAATACATAGATAGTTTTTTTGAAGAGTTACTGGCTGTCATCATCTGCTTACCTTATCTGTGTCTATTCCAGACATGAACTCCTGTTCTACTGTTAAATTATCAAAAAAATCTTCAGATGCTGTGGGAAAAGAATAAAAACCAATGCAATAGCAACTGACAGCTAATTTTCTACATTTAACATTAGCAGAGATGCACTGAGTGGAACAAACACCATTTTTGTCAAGGAAGTGTGTCTTACGTCTTACTACACTCCAGTTAGTCAGACTATTCAGCGAATGAATACTCACTGGTGATGTCTTTGATGAGTTCTGCAATGGAGGTGTGGTTTGCCAGAGAACTCCTTGCTGCCTGCATGTGTGGCAGCTGCGAGACAAACTGCTTAATCTCTCCAACAGTTTTTGCGTGGTGTCTTTCCTAAAGAAACAAATCCATCACTAAGGTTAGGTGTTGTTCAGATCAATCAGCCACCCCCTAACTGGGCCAGTCTATTATGGAACACAGTGCAAGAGCAGACACTGTTACAGATGTACAGCATTTTGTCAGAAGAGTTGCACATTTACACGAAAATTGCAGCATTACCTGTAACAGTGCTTTGATAGAAGAGGCAAGTCATAATACAACAGGAACAGGGACTGTTTTTTTCTATTATACCATGCTGCCAATCACCTTTCTCAGATCAGCTGTGACTATCTGTTCCTCAGGTTTCCTTCCAGTAACAAGTACCTTTTTTTATGCAGACAGTTTTCTTTACCAGCTGCCAGCACACAGGGAGCTCTAGGCAAATGCAGACAGAGATGGGGGACATTTTCCCACAAGGAGAAGCCTGCCTTTCATTGTGCCTGGCTGCAACAGCGTCCTAGATTTGGGGCAATGGTCAGACGAAACACAATGCAGACTTCAGCTCTCAGAGCCGCCCAGAGGTCTGTATTTCATGTGGGCTACATGCCTCTTGCTGCAATTTAGAATATAAATAAATTGACACGTGAAGAATTTAAGTAAGTGGGCAAGTGCAGGCAGGAGAGTGATAATGAGAAGCCTGCAATCTAAGAAGTCTTCTCCTGCCAATATGGTGCTGTTTCATTATCACCTATTACCTCTGCCAATTTTCTTTCCTCTTGTTAGAATAAATAAGTAAATTAAAAGGCAACAGTACAAATAATCCATCTTTAGCACCATCAGCACTACTGCAGTAACAGACATCTTCTAGGAGATGAGGCTAAGCACACACTACTTCAGTTAAGGTATCACTACTTCTTCTTAAATGTGGCAGAAATGAAGAAGCAAAGTCAGAACAGCAGTGTTCTCTGGCTGGGGATTAGTCCTGGCAGCAGCTCAAGCTGCCAGCCACAGCCCTGCTTAGCACAGACCGTGTCTGTACCTGATGTCAGGAACACCCGAGGGACGCATCGTTGGATACAGGCCTCACCTCAAAGGCTGCTGAGATGATCTTGGCCTTCTTGCTCAGCACTGACCCCACAGCATTGAAGTTCTTGTCTCGGATTTCAGCATACAGCTCCTCAGCTGAGTTCAGCTGGAGTTTTTTAGGCTCTGTGGGGAGATCTTTGCCACCCTCGCCTTGCTTCTTCGGGGCAAACTTCTCAGGAGGGAGTTTCACATATGCTATCAAAGGCAGAGAAATAACTCTGATAAGGACTTACCAGTGTAAGTTAACAAAGCACGCTGGGAACCTGTATTCTGAGCTGAAAAGAGTTCTTGTCAGCAAAGCTATTATGAATGTCAAAACTACTTCATACGTGCATGTTAATTAAAAGAGAGCCTGTTGGTACTCACATGGGGACCCAGAGATGCACATTTATCAAAAGCCAAGCACTAGGTACCAAAGAGGCTTGCAGGCAGCCTTCCAGCCAGTCACCAGGCCAGCATAAAACCTGTAAATGCCTCTGGAGTTATTCTGCCTACTGCCCAAAGAGAAGGGGAACACCTTGACCGACCTTTCACAAACTACTTCCGTTTCCCTCAGTATGCATTGAGGGAGCCACCCAGGCTGGATGGTGAAGGCATGCACTACAGTTTCTGTTGACCAGAGGCTCCTTGACCTGCAGTACTCACTATTCTGAATTCCATAGATTTCATCAATCAGCCCTTCGTATGTCAGCTGCGTGGCTAACGGTGTCAGCAGGTCAACGTTGCGGTCCAGCAACAAGAGGGTATCAAAGACTGGAAATATTGAGTTCTGGCTTCCAGGGAACTCACGCTTCATTCTGATCATCATGTTAGCCACGTGCTGAAAGGAAAACACATTGGTCTGTCAAGCCACAGCAGATGGATTTGACTTCTAGGCTGTATAGGTGCGTGCAAATATAGGGGCACAATCCTGTATAAAGCAAGGGAACAAGAGGTACAAAGTGGCAGTCAGGTGGGAGCAAGACAAGATGAGAAAATCAGAGCCCTTTGCTGCTACTCTCTGCTGCTTAGCAGGGCAGCAGCTGTGGCCAAAGCACTGGCTTCCTCTCAAGCTGCTCCCTCATTACAAAAGGTACCAATTAAAATACAGGCTAATCAGAAAGGAGGAAAAAAAAAAAAAGCATGGCAGTGAAAGGGAGAGAGAAGACAGTGCATGAGCAGTAGACTGTACATTTCCAGCTTTATTCAGCCATTCTGATAACGGAGTGGCTAACTGTTAAACTCCATAGGAGAACTGCTGAAAGCACAAAAGAAGCATACTGAAGAGCAGACCCTAAAATCAGATAACCCTTCTGACAGGAAGCCTTACAACACAGCAGTAATTGTCCTTTTGACCAGAGATAACGACAACCTGGCGGCTGTGATCCCAAAATTCCAATACTACAAGAATACACGTCTGGATTCAAAAACGAACTCCACAGATGGCATTTAACCAAACTCTTGTTCCACAGGACAAGATGTATTAAGCAGCAGCATTCACCTTACCCGGGCACATTCGCCCTTCCCAAAAATCTGGGGGATGGTTCCATAGAGAGCCTGCAGAGTCATCAGCCCCTTGGCCGCGTGGTACAGGCTTGTCTGGTCACTCTCCAGGTAACATTCCTAAACAACAAGGAGGATTCGATGGAAGGCGTCCACCCGACACAGCCGCTTCTTCCGTGCAACGGATCAGAAGAGACACAGGCCAGGGAAATACCTAAGGCCATAGGCAAATACAGACCTTATCTGTGCTGTTAGGTAAATCACTTGATACCAATCACTGTGAAATGTGCTACTCCTGGTTTGACAGAAAGAATGAAGAGAGCCAGACTAGAACTGCAGTGAGCCTCTACCGAGGCCCATCTGAGAACACAGTAGCTCAGCACAGCACTGACAAGCAGCTGCAGGCCCTCCTGGCTATGTTTGCTAAAGCCAAGACAGCAAAGAATATCTCTTGAAAGTTTCTGTCCTAGGGTGCAGTTTTCTTAGAAAACACACATAATTTGTAACACACACAGCACTGCACACAGCTTTTCTACTGCATGTTGACATGAACTGTGCTGGTTCTTTGTAATGACTGATCATTTTAAGCCTTGTGAATGAATGCCCGATTTGTGAAAATAGCACTGGTGGTTAATAGCTAGAGGGATGGGATGCAGCTTGACTGTTCCTGCAGCGTTCAGTAAGACAGCAAATGGACGAGTTCAGGCTCAGTTCAGCTCTCAGAACTAAGATGCATTTGCTTTGCAGGGCCTTCTGCTGTTCGAGGGCCTGACTCCAGGAGCCAGCACGAAGCAGCTGCCTTAAAGCTGAGCCAAGCTCTTACCTTGAAGGCGCTCTCAGACTCCATGGACAGCAGGTCCCCATCGAAGGGTATCAGGTCCAGGCTGTACTGCTCCCGGTGGATGAAGGACCCCAGCACGCCCTGCTCTTTCAGCCACTGCTCGCACAGCAGGCTGCGGCGCGGCACGAAGAGGATGTGGAAGTCCCTCTGGGGAGAACGGCCTCTGTCTTCCCTGGAAGAATCACGGCAGGGGCACAGCAAACAGTCACAACATCACTCGGCGGCACAGCCAGCCGGCACAGCGCGGGCTGAGGGCACTGAGCTCACGAAACCTGCATTCATAACCTTCTGTTTCCGAGTATTTCACATGCTTGTTACCCGGCCTTTTGGACGTTCAGCCGCCGCTCTGGGTGTGGGCGGGGCAGGGCGAGGGCATCCCGCGGCCGTACCTGCGCACGTTGTCCGTGATGATGTCCATCAGCTCCAGCCTGGGCCTCACGAAGAAGATGACGTTCCTGACGTCAGCCTGGGGCAGGCGGCCCGGCTTCAGGGTGAACATCTTCTCCACCTCGTGCTCCTGCCGGGAGACGAAGCGTCAGCCGCCGCCGCTGCCGCCACCCACCTTTCGGAAACCACTCGTGATTAAAGAAAGACGCTCACCTTGAGCAGCGAGTACTGCGCGATCAGCCCGAACGGCCCGGTCAGGTACTCGTCCCACACGATGGCCTGCGGAGGGACAGAGAGGCGCTGGACCGCGCCCTGCCGACTCGGCTCCCCTCCCCACCGCCGCGCCCCGCACCTTGGAGCCCGCGCACTTATCGAGGAACTCGCGCAGCTCCCTGCGCCCCGCCTCGCGCAGAGCCGTCAGGTTCACGCGCCCCGAGCTCAGGTGGGCCGCCATCGCTCCCGCCCGGCGGCGGCGGTCAGCTGACGCATCACGTGACAGCCGGGGCGGTGCCGGGCCTCGGGGGCTGCCCGGTCGCACAGCGCCCCCTGGTGGGCGCCAGGGGAGACGCGGCGGGACGCGCGTACGACGCTAGGGGAACCGAACAGAAGAGAGTAAACGCTTTTTTTTTCTCAAAATATAACTTTAATATATATATGTATATACACACAAACACACGCTCACTGTATAGAAGATGAAAGAATGCCGAAAAAAAAAAAAGGCATGCCTCAAACTGTTTCAGGTGTACGCAGCAGATGGGTCTCTAAAAAGCCCACAGCAGCGCCTTATCCTGTCTGCACTGCACACCCGAGGCAGGGTACTGCAGCCCTCCGGGCCAGAGGCAGAGCTGGAGGCCAAGGGCACAAACTGCAAGCGAACAAGGAAATGGAAATTAACACAACATAGTTCTCAACCCAGTCCAGTGTCAAAAAAAGCATAAAAATCTAAATGTACAAATGCAGCTTTAAAATGGTTTAGTGCAAATATGAAAATTAACAGCATAATTTTAAAGTATTTAAATAAGCTTTAATATAACTATAGTGCTTTGTTCCTATACATGTTTTCCCACCAACAGATCCAACAGCACGGGGGCACGACGTGTTAGAGCTGAAACAAACCCAGAGCCTGGGAAGAAACAGCATAAAGTCATCCATTAAATCATTTATTTATACCTCACTTAAGTTTAATAAAGGGAAATGGGGTACTTATTAGTGGAGGAGGAAAATATTTATGAATTTACTGACTCTAAAGTGGATGGGCAAAGGGAAAGGGAACAAGGGGGTCAAGAAACACCATCCCCTGTCCTGACATTCAGCACACAGAAATGCTGGTTGTGTAAATGTCCGATGGGCACGCAGACAGGCCGGCCCCGGCCGCGTGCTGTGTCAGAAGGTCTCGTCGTCATTGCAGTCAGCTGTCCAGTGCCCAAACATCTCGCAGGTGTCGCAGTAGGGCCGCTCCTCCCGCCTGCTGCCGTGGTACGTGGAGTGTGGAGGCTCCTCCAGCATCTGCGCCTGGGTCGGGCAGTCCTCGGTGTCGTGGAGATCAAAGCAGCCGCAGATGTCGCAGAAGAGGCGAGGCGTCTTCTTGGACAGGCCTTCCTCCTCACTGCAAAACCAGCACCAGCGCGTGTCAAACAGAGCAATTATCTCTCGTAATTCTTTAGGTAGCTCTGCTTCCCTCCCGGTAAGCTATCTCACAATTACTGAACCTAAGGAATACCATGCTGGTCAATAAAATATTGTTACAAAGACTCTCCTGAAGATCACAGTACTCCACGTCTCCTTACACTACACTGTTCACTACACAAACTGCTCTGTGGAAACATGTGCACACATAGAGGCATTATCTGAAAAGAAACACAGTGAAGCTAGTTTCTGTTCTTCATTAGAGAGATCACAACTCACAATTTATGAAGTAGGTTTTCATTCTGTTTCTTGGACTGGATCTCCCCATCTCAGTGTAGATAAATGCATCTTAAGGGCAAAGACTCTTCTATGAAACTTGGAAAGGACTGACCTCAACCAAGACTGACAACAGATACGTTACAAGACACCAGCGCCTGTGGCAGGTGAGTACTGGGGATCATTTTGCACCACCCAGCACCCTGCAGTAATAGACCTAAATAGATTCAGTCTACCTAAACTAAGGAGGAAACTACACATTTGTTGTGGCAGCTGAAACCAGGCTGATGCGTTGTGCAGCTGACAGAACTGACTCCTACCAGCACACAAGCCGAGACTTCCCATTAGGATTTGTACCTGTCATAGTTGATTGTCTCCTCTTCATTGCCATTGAGGGCTGCTTCACACATTCTTTGTATTTTCAAGTTCAGTTCTTCATTTCTCCTTTGCAGATCTACTATCACTGAATTCAGGAAGTCAATCTGTGACATTAAAGAACAAGAACAGTCAGAAGGTTGAGGACTGCCTGTCCACAGAAAGCCAACACCACAGGAACGGCCCTCAGAATGACAGATGTTAATGGGTCTCAACCCACCACCACCAGATCAAGCTCTTTTTCTAAGGTTACTGTTTCAGCATGAGAGCCAGCAGTGTAATTCTGATCAGAAGTACATCTCTGTTCCTCTGGACCTGCTGCTCAAGTGGGTGCACCAGGGGCTGCCAGTGACTCCCTGAGCTACCCCAGAGGTGGCAGTGAGGCAGCACAGTGCACCCACGTGGCATTTCCTGAAGCGGTCCGAGCCACTGAGAGATCAGCAGACAGCACTATGAAAATACTACTGGCAGTAACCAAGTAATGCTTGGCAAATTGTCATTGTGCATAAAATAAAAGTAAGGCAAGAAATGGAACAAACCTCTTGCTGATCAGAAGAAAGCATTGTCATCAGCAGGTGAATTCAGGGAGGGAAAAAAAAAAGAAATTGGTGGTTACTTAATTGGTTAATTGCACTGCTTCTGACCTCTGTACAGACTGTGTCACCAGTAAAGACTTTTAATCAGCGCGACCAACTCCAGTGATTTAACAGCACTGCTATTCCAACCATGCATCCTAGGCCTTTGTTGTCACAGGCAGCCCTGTTGCACTGCTTTCTTTCACATGTCCACTATGATTACTGTATCCTTTCATACACATTTTCCTAAATCTGTTTGAATCATATGGTAACAGAGCAGCTAGTTCCTACCTCTACTTCTCCTGCTTGCTTCCTCATGTTATTCTAGCCACTGACATTTCCCCTCAACAGCAAAAGGTGAAAACAAAAAACTGTCTATCGTAGTCCCGATTTCCAAAATGTGCTAAGGACAGTATGTGGGAGGATTGCACTGTGCCTATAGACACACTGCTGTTTTAGCTCACTGATGTTTCAATCAAATACCTGTTTATCTTCTGCACTTTCATCTTGAAGTAGATTAGCAGCAATATCACCTTTAAAGAGAAACAAAAAAGCAAGGCATAAACAACCAGTTATTCAAAGCATGAAACATCCATGGCTTAGTCAGAGACTGAAAATAGCGGGCTATCTCATTTTAACTATGCATCTAACAGCTGCAAAATCTGCAAGATTAAAGCTGACAGCACAGAGAAATAAAGAAGCTCTCTCTTTTACCTGAGGGGCTAGTTACAGTTAATGGCTGTTCGCTTTTTGCCTTGAGTTTTTGCTCCAAATTCTTCACCTTTTCCTCAAGTTTCAACTTATCAGACTCCAGTGACTTAACCACTGACTGTAAGGTTTTTGCAGAAGCATTTTCTCCACGGAGCACCGTGATCTGCAACAGTCATTAGAGAATGTTTAGGTCCTCCAGAATGAAATGAAAGCACAAAGGCAACATGCTAAGTGCTAAACTGCCACCACAAACACAGGCCAGCACTCACCTAACTGGGCATACACAGACATCTAAAGATTTAATTCTAAGGTTTAACTATGCTAAGTTAATAAAGTAAAATAAATCAGCCAACTCTTCAGCTACAAGTCAGACACTGCTAGCCATGGGGCTTTCCATAGGATTTTCCTGCTTTTTCTCATTTACCTCATTTCTGAGTTTTTCCAGTTCTTCATCTTTCTGTGTGATCAAGGCACTAGTGTCACTGATGGATTTTTGTAAAGATGCTCTCTCTTCATCAATTTCTTTTTTCAACGTGGATTCTCTAGAAGAAAACCAAACACAACCAGGAATCATCTTAAGAATAAGTTAATGCTATTGCCTTGAGAATAATTTCAAGTATTAGGATACCATAAGAAGTTGTTCTTCAAAACAAAGATCAGTTCTGTACGTAACTAAGGTTTAGTATCTGTATAAACGTGTCAGATGTCACAACTTTGGAAACAAAGCAAGAAGTTTACCTAGGAAGCACATGCCAGAATCTGCATATCATCGTATCCGTTTGAATTTAAAGAAACAAGTTAACAGACTGAGGAGACACAGGATAAACAGATATGGTGCACAATGTTCCACCAAACCTAACATCAAAGTTTTGTTACTTCTTGAAAATTATTGACAAGCAACAAAACATGCATGCAAAGCTCATTATACAAGTTGTCATGCAAAGCATTGGTGATGCTGGAAATATCAAATGGTCCTCACTAATTTCAATAATGTTATTTCCTGAAACAGATACTTAGAGTGTTTGTAGGCTTTTAACAAATCCTGTTTCACAGAAATCCACGTGGGATTTGTTTTACTTCATGAAGGGTTTTAAAAAGAAATCCTCCCAAGCAGACACAAACCCTTTCTGTGTATGCATGTCCTGGCTTCATAGCTTTTTCAGTTATCTAATGAAAAAGAGCAATCACTTCTGCCCACATTCCCTACCCCGTCAGTGTCCTTAAGGCATCACCACAGTGATGTTCTCACACTAACACCAGCAGGTCTCCCTGGAAGTCAAGGATACGCCCCGAAGAGCAGCTGTCCTCTGATGGAAGGACTTTTGCTACTGAAGTTCTGTACAAACTAAACAGGTTTTTGTTTAAAAGAATAAAACCAAAACAAAAAAGGCCACCAAAAACCAACCAACCAAACAAAAACGTGTTACTCCATAATCTGTGTTTACTTATGTAAAGGAGAAATCTGCTTTTGAAAGCACCACCAGTGCCTGGCAGCTGACTGTCAACTCTCCAGGCCCCTGAAGCCAGTCCTCTATGTGACTGCAGACATCTCCATGCAGATGATTGTGGTCTCACCGCTCAGAAGTTAGCTATTTTTCTTCTTCCAGGCTCTGAGAGCTGATGAGAGCTAAGCTGTCAGAATGCGTATCCACAGAGACCAAACAACACAGAGATTTCATCTCAGTAAGTACATAAAACTCTGCTCTCTGTGCTGAAGGGACAAAGAGCGGAACAACACTTGTGGGACCCTATGCTGCAGGTAGGGGACAGCTGGCAGGTCCAGGCTGAAATTCTTTATATCCACAGGATCTACAGTTAGTGAGAGCCATGATACCCAGAGTGTGAAATACAGCAAATCTCACCGACTTGATAAATGGGAAACTCAACAAGGAGGGCACAGTTAACGTAATTCTTCCATTGCTAAGGTTATACTTAGAAAAGAAGCAGCAAGTGGAGAATCTGGGGTTTAGAAAAGCTGGTGCAGCTACCAAAAAAGAACCAAAAGGTTGATTTTGGTCTATTTTTCCAATGAGAGAATTTGATATAAAGAGAAATGCAACAACAAGCTGCAGATCACACGATCTTGCCTTGAATACAAGTTATTCTCCTGTTAACAAAAAGGGCAGTGGCATTTAGCAGACCTCCTCATTATCCTTTATCAGATCTGATTCAACAGAACACTAAAAGCATGTCAATCTCAGTGTTCTTCAGTAGCATTACTCACACACTCTAGCCTAACCCATGTTTTTAAATGCCAGGGGTGTGGGAAAGTAACCCTGCAAATGTCCAGGACGCTGCTGCCCTCTGCAATCCACAGAGCTGCACTGGGAAAGAAGATCTGCAGGATGCTCCTCACAAGCTCCCTCCTACCTGACACTTTGCCCAGGTTTTCCTTTTGCCCTGCACTCTGCATTAAAAGGCAGATGGAAACCCCAGCGACTCATCTCATGCTCAGGAACTTGCTATTGAGCCACTGCTTCAGCTGTTTGGTCAGATCCTCATCTTAGAGATGAAGGCCAGACGTATGCTTTCTGTACAGATATGGTGGATTGCCATTTGTTGGCCTTGTAAAAAGGAAGCACAAGAATTCAGGCCTTTGGGAAAGGTAAACAGTTTGTAAGCATATAAATATATATTTATATATAGGAGTGAGAATACTGTAACACAAGGGGAAAGAAATAAGAGAGGGACAGAGGAAAGAAAACAAGAGGTGGGGGGAAAGGTTCTCATATTAAGCATTGTTTTTTTCCTTTACAGAGCAGTGTTTGCAGAAACAATCCTTTACAGCTCTGGTTAGAGGCCCTCTAAAATGCACAGACTGGACAGCCTACAAATACAGTGGGTAGATCTCACTCATTACTTATACTTAAGTGGGGATCACAGCTCACTTCCAGCATCAGCAGAGCCTGCCCCACTGATACCCTCAGCACCGCTTGCACTGCGATTCAGATGAGAGGCAATACATTCTATAAGGGGAAAATGGAGGCAGTGAACTTAAACTTCTTCCCTGGAAGTCCGTATTCAAAATATCTGCTTGCCAATAGCGATTAAAAAAACCCTGTCGGTTCACTTCATGTGCCAATTCAGAATTTCACTTTCAAGAGGAGGTTAAAGCGCGTTTTGAGCACTGTGTGGAAGTCATTGGAGACAGGATTTTTTTGTTTGTTTTTTTTTTTGTTTTTATTGGAAAAAAAGCCCATCACCCAGATTCTTCCCTTACTACAAAAATCAGACATTCTAAGAATGAAGCAGGTACCTTAAAGTGTTACTGGGGAAGCTTTAAAAATGCAAGATAACAAGAACCAAACGTTAGAAATGTGGAATAGAAATGCCAAGTTCTGTAAGGAAGAACTAAATTTGCACACACCCATGGGCTTTTTTTTTTTTTTGTAAAAAATATAGACTTTATGTATATTTTTATATATATAGATATATATATAGCTGAGTATTTTACAAAACAAAAGCAAGACACCAAGGGACAAAGGCAGCCAAAATATGTACAACAGCTATACTTAAAAAAAAAAAAAGTTATTTATTATAACGTGGATAGACTTTCTTTAGTCTTACCATTAAAGACACACAGATATAGCAAAGGAAGCAAGGGTAGGAAAGGGAAGAGAGAGGAATGAAATGAGTATCGATAAATAGCGCAAGCTCAAAGACAGTAAGACAGTTAGCAACCCACAACGACCCTATGAGCTGAAGTAACGCGGAACCCCATCAGATCCATAGCTACTCATCTCCTGTCACTGCTAGCTGAACTGTTTCATGGGCAGTTGTTAAATTCCCATTGGTGCAATGGAAGGAAGATCTGCTGGAGATCTAACCTAACTGAGATAAGCAGATGTCTCTGTTTCAGTATTTCTGATTCTTAACACAAAAGGAAGAAATCACTGCTCAACACCAGCTTCAGTAGAATTCAGGAACTTAGAGACAAGGTTTTTTTGTTTCATTACTTCTTCATTCAGTCTGCTTTTGTTGGCAAATAAGACCATATGCTTCCATTTAACCCCTCATGGTCTACAGTTTGCTCCAATGACTCTGACTTGATTCTTGTTTTATCTTTTGTATTGGAGTTTATTCAACACCAAAGAGAAATATCATTAAAGTCAGTCAGAAACTTGGGCATCCCATTGTAACCAAAGGTGAGCGAAGGTGGATGGACCTGACAACCCTGAAAGTACTGTTCATGTTCCCTGTGACGATCTCATATTCATGTTGGCTATTTCAGGCAGTTCACACAGAGTAAAAACAGGTACAGAATTAACTGCTGAGTATGTGTGTGGTGCAGACGTGACAGATCCAACTCAGAAGGAAAATCAGAGCCACTCTTCTTGCTCTTTACAGCTTACTCTAGAATTTGTATTTTAACATGTATAAATGGCATTTATGCTGTTATACACAGCTACAAACCCTACGATCCAATTCGTGATGCTGCTTAAGGCTGAAACTTCAGCTGCTGACTTGTCCATCCACTAGTATAATGACTAATAGAACTGTTGCATTCTCTAAGAAGGCTTTAGCTTGTGTAATATCCTATGTGCATACTGTCCTTTAAAAGAAGGGTGAGATGTAACAGGATGAATCACCTTCCACCAAATAGCAGATTATTAGGGAATAAAAACAGGCTGTATAAATACTGAATAGCCAAGGATGTCCATGAAAGCTGGAGTGTTGTAAGCACAGGAAATTCTAACAGGCTTGTTTGTTTTTCTTGGAATGCACTTGGTGTCATGGAGATCTGCCCCTTTTTCTAAGAATTTATGTAATTACTTTTGAAAAGGCGACATTTTTCTGAACACATTCTGGTGTGCAGCCAAGGAGCTTTCCCTATGAACAGCAGGAAGGTGGCACGTTTTGTAACTTGGGACCATTTACTGAGCAGCAGTTTACAAATGGATGCCCCAGACAACCAGGACAAATCTCCTGGTATTAAATAGCAGTGCTGAATGAACTGCAATAACTACAGACACAGTGAGATTCATATCTCAAAACAATCCAACAAAGGCTGAGTAACAGCCTTTATTTATTTATTTTAATATAAATCCTTATCATCTCTGTATTTTTCTTCCTTAAGAACCTGACTGGTGAGGATCTGTACCCATGATATTTATCAGACTGATGAACAATCTACAGAGGACCAAAGATGAACAAACTGAAGAGGAAATGGTAACTCCTGCTTGTTTTCTTATATTCTCTTATATTAAGAATTACATTTTCATCTCCTTTTTTACAAAGAAATGTGGAAGACATGATCTATGAGCCCGGGCTGCATAAAAACCTCAATACTTTTAAACATGACATAGTAGAGAAAAAATGCTTTTTCTTGGCTTTTTTTTTTTTTTTTTTTGGATAATGTTTTGCCAAGTTTTCTGTAGGACTGTACAGTTATCAGCATCAGAAAAAAACCTTACCTCTTTTTCATCTCTAGTAACTGGTTATTGAGTACTGATCTCTCCTCTTCCAGCTAAAACACAAATACAAAAAGCCCACAGTTAATACACGAAGGGTTATTTCCTTATTATAATATATCAGAATATCATGTTCATAAAACAATATGGGAGAGGCTACAGAGTGCACACATCCTTACGGTGATCGATTTTCTTCTAGGCCAAAGCAGGCACAGACACACATCATTTAGTGACCAGTGTTAGCTGGTGAGGGGCCATTACAGCTTTAAACTGTTTTGAGGCCCCGTGCACACAAGAGGTGTGAAGCACAGCAACAGAACTTCTCTTGGCCCCAGGCACACCACACAGAACTGTAAGTGTTCCCAGCTGTTAAGTTTCACTCTGTATTGATGAATTACTGGATTTGTTCTCATTTTGACCTGGATAATTGTACTATTGAATCCCTGGATTTGCTATTGTAACAGCCTGGATACCAGTACTGATCTGTACTGGTTTCTGTACCACTGTATAGAGATGAATTATTTCTCCCGAGAGCTGTTGTCTGGTGTCTGCTACTGCATCCCAAACCTGTGACTCTGCAGGGCCCTCAGAACCAGCAACAACTTCCACTGAAAGTGTCCCTGGGGCAGGGTCCAAACAGACAACAAGCACACAACCAGCAAACCAGCAAAATCCACCAACCAGATGTAGCAACCACATCAAAACCACAGAGCCCCAACACAGAAGGCACACTGAAGTAACTGAGAATGTTAGAATTAAGTATTTTTAAGGTCATTCTTTTTTCCCCACCACTCCATCTCTTTTCTCTCCTTTCTGCTTGCTCAGTGCCCATTCACCCCTGAATAGCCTTCAGTGCTTGTGAGATGCCCCACAGCTCGGAGCACACACCTTGCATCCATCCCTCATCCTTTTTATTTTCCTGGTTGGCTGTGGAGAAATGACAGATTTTTGTGTAGAACAAGACAGACATGGACATCAGAGACAAGTGAAGGACAGCAAGATGCTAAGTCTGCTCTCTCTCTTGCCTTGGAGCAGGCTCCTCATGTACCTTTAACAAAAGATGGTGCAGCTCAGCTGATTGATGTTTCTACAGTTTTCCAGTGAAATTAAAATGCCTGGGCCTGTCTGAAGCTCCTGAAATGCCACAGCAAATACTCTGAAGCCAGAAAAGCTCCCCGAGCTCAGTATCTGACTAGGAATCTTTAACTAATTACACACAGCTAATTATTTATGAATCGATATAAAAAACCACCCCTCAGCATCTTTAGGCACTTTAACCTTTAGATGTCAGGATAAATCATTCATGAAAGAGTATTCATTAATTTTGCAAAGTGTGTCACATGCAGCTGCAGATTCACTAACCCAAGTGACTAGCAGCACACTTAGAATTTATAGTTACCATAGTGACTGCTCAAAATACTTAAAACATATGCTTGCTATCTTTCTTACTGCATTTTAATAGACATGCACGGAAACCCAGACTGAAGCATTGCTACATTTGTGCTTCCTTCCCTACGGTCCAGTTTTTCAGCATCTGCTGTATGAAATACAGCTCCACAAGTGATGCTGGTCTCAGTCATCTTCTTTCTCAGCATCAGCACTCGTTCTCTTAAACCCATCTGAGCAGTTCTTCATAGCAATGTTCTTTCAGTTCCATAGACAGTCTGAAGCAAAAAAGTCCAAACAGTGCTGAAACTCAGTGCCTAAATACAGTGTGTGTGCAGAATAAAAGAGTTGAGGAATCAGTGTGAACATGCTAACCTGAGAAAGGGCTACCAGTGCCAGAATCCTCAAGAACCTGGTTGAGTCAAAGGCCGAACAAGTTGACTTTAAGTTTAGGTTTAGTACAGATCCAAAGGAAACATGAAAAAAGTTGCATTCTGAAGGCTAACAGCAGGTCTCCATCAGACTGAAAAGGATGATCAGCACCGGTTTGTACTTCATGTGCTCCAGAGAATGCTCTCTAGGAGGATATCCGTCTTCCATTCAAGGAACCAAGAGATCTAACGGTTCTGGGCAGATACACTGCACATCTCCTCAATAAGAATTGAACAGTACTGAGCTCATTGTGTGACACCTGGAAGGGAACCTGCATTCTACATGACACTATTTTGCCTTTGCCCCTTTTGCCACAGCAGAACTTCCTGGAACAACCAAGGCCTCTCCCAGGCCGTTAAGAGGCCACACAGCTCACTGGATCCAATACAACCTACAAGTTCAATACAACAATACAACAACAAGTTCAGAAATGCAATAGCACTCCCACATTCCCAAAGTTCACACTGGAAACTGGAAGGTAAACAGATTGTTTCTCAAGCTCTAGCAGACCTTCCAAATCTTAGTTATGGGAGCCAACTGCTTATGGACAGAAAAGGTTATGGTGAAAGTGAACTGAGAATATTCCTGTTTGCAAGGTGATTGGCTCTTTGTGCTTCACAGACCTGGCACTGAGATTGGATCCCTGCTGACAGATCCACAGGCAGATAGGATGGAGACACCAAGACTGCTCTGTGAGTTCATCTAGAAACTACATGAGGCCACAGTGAGACTGCATTCACCTCTGCCAGCCCCGTGGGCTGAAGGTCCCCTTCCTTCAGGCACTTTCTGACTGGCTATTTAGGATAGGCAGAAAGATTTGAGCGATGTCGCTGACTCCTTTTCAAGTTACAACTCTTTCAAAAAAATAACAGGTTGCCTCAAAGATTCTGAAATAATTTAAGAAAACATGTGGGAGTAGGGAGCAGAGCTCCCACTGGCTGTTTAGGATGACAGCATTCTGTTATCACATCACTACTCAGATGCATCATGACTCATTGGCTGAGCCCACACGTCTGGGACTCAATTTAATCATCTCCAAAGGCTCTTCAGGATGAAGAAGCTCGTGCATTACTCCTAGCCGCAGCCAAAGGGATTCAGAAACTTGCTAGATTTGTAGTTACTCATCCTCATTATTTCAAAGCAGGTTAGATTCCTTGGGGGAAAAGCCAGTCTCTTGGCCTCAAAAGTGTTAGCCTGTGTTACAGGATGGAAGACATCTCTTCCATTGCCTCTGAGAGCAGGCATGCCCATTTCTGCAGAAGAGCTCTCAGCCAGTACACAAAGCCATGCTCCACTCTTGCTTTTAATCTAGATGTTCCTTAGGTGCCTTCATGGTGTTATCATGAGAAATGCTCCACAAGAAATGAAACCACCATACGTAATGGATGTAAATCTAATATTTCTCTAGGAGGTACCAGTGTTGTAAGCTGTATAACTAAGCACACGCTTTAAGATTCCAATGTGTCCAAGTGTAATATTAAAAAAAAAAGTGTTTTTTTTCCCATAAACTGTAACAAAAAACCAGCAACCTCATATGAATTCTAGTCCTCCAGAACCCAATACCTGACTGCAGCACTGTTCATGTACATGCACAGTATCATGTCTAAGTAAGCATATACATGCACAGTGCTTTTTATAGACTCCAAACAAGTAGTTTTAAATAGAATTCTGAAAGACATTCTAAATATTCTTTCTTTTCATGGGAACGGAGAGCAGGAATAAGGAGAAGCATTAAATAGATTTTGTTAGTACTGCTTAGATGGAGATTTCATAGTTGTATAATACAACTACTCCTGACAGAAATAGAAAGAGTCTCTTAATACATTTGGCTAATTCATATTGAACTTATGCTTATTTCCAAGCCTCCTAAGTATCCTTTGTAGGTTACACAACCTTCTGTTAGCCTGCAGTACGAGCCTCGCAGTGCAGGTGGTTTCCAAATTTATTTTAAAACCTTCTCAGAACAACTCATCTTTCAATCACAAGCATGCAGTGCAACGTCACCCAGACATCAGTGGAAACAGCATGTACCACACTTTCAGCACACATCAGGAAACGTTCCAGCCACTCTACCTTCTGATGACTTGTGACTTCGTCCCTGCTTCTGCCCAGCTCCTCGGCAAGTTTCACGTTCTCCTCTTGCAAAGCCGCGAGCTGCTGGGACTTCTGAGCAGCTGCCAGCTTCAGCGCTTCGCTGCGAGGACAGAGAGTGCATTGTTACCATAGGAACGAGGGAGGCAAGAAAAAACTGGGGGAGAGAATCAGCTTCACAGCTTGGAAAAATACATCTAGGTCACGTGCCCGGTGGGACTGACAATAAAGGTGACGAGCCGTACCTCGCTGCACACGGATAGGTTTAACCCTGAAAAGAGACAGCAGCACAAAATGATCGCTTCCTTCTCCTTTAAATGCATCAGAGCTCAAGGGAATGCAGGGAAAATTCAGTCTGCTTGTTCTGCACATTTCCAGTGGTTATCGAGCATTGGATTTAGGAATATCCCTCACAGGAGCTGCTGATGAGCTGCACAGCCCAGACATGCTCAGAAATGAACGTGGCTGACCTCTCTGCACTTAAAGCACGAGAACTGGTTTTAAAAACAAAAAAAGCTCACAGTCTCTCAGCACTCCCTGCAGGATCTGCAGCCCAGACAACCAAGAATGTGTGAGATTGTGGGGTCAGCTGCTCCGTTCTTGTTATTTTCCAGGTACAAAACCAAACAACAAAACAAAAGCTGAAGTATATCTGCAGGTTTCATTTTGCTATTAATACATATTGTTTCCTTAAAGTAAGTTTATTTTTGATTTGTTTTTTCTTGCCTGGGGGACAAGTGACTAATGTAAGTTCTTACAATATTTGAGTGTATCTTAAAAAAAATGAAAAGAGTTTGCTTAACTTCAATAAATGGGAACTTCTATGACTGGGTTTTGTTTTCATAAAAAGGAGTCTCAGTGCTCCTATGTGCCAATATTACACAGAGTTAAACCCTGACCGGAATATTAAAAGTATTTGTGTGGATGTTGGAGGCAGGAGAAGCCAGGAGTCGGAAACTCACTCAAGTGCTTCAAGACAGAGGAATTCTATGGGCTGTTACTGAACACAGTTAAACAGAAGGAAGTGTGATTTACCTTTAGAATTTAGCACGTAATATGACTTAAGATTTTCCAACCATTTCTCCAACCCCTCATCTCTAGCTACACCACTAGAGAAGCTAGTTTTCTTCTTCTTGACCAGTTCTCAAGCCTCCTAGACTTGGATGAAGCCTGCTGGCTCTCCTCACTGAATGCTGATTCAAATGATCTTGGTAGCATATACCTGCTGACACAGGCGCATACCCGTCTGTAACCACGACAGTTTGTTCAAACCAGTCTTCTCTTGAAAAAATTACAGTCTAATATATTCTGTCTCTCCATGAAATCAGACTGCTAGCCCCTTCTGCCCCAGCATTACAGCAGCTGGTCTAGAAATGATTGTTTTGCTTTGGCACTTCCCACGAGCTTGGAGGCAGGCAGAAACTGCAGAATGAAATCCCACCTTTCTTCTGCAGGGTTGCTCTCTATTCAGGCAGGTTTTTAAAAGCAAGTTAAGAATGGTCACACATAGAGAAACTAAGTGTTCATTCTGCATGCTGATTTCCTTTGTGTCCTGCCTTGACCTCAGAGCAGTGGTGAGAGCTGTCACAAATGACTTACGGAACTAATAACAATAATTAATCATAGATGCTCTTATCTATCAGTCCGAATTCTACATTCCAGCTCTCAGTGTGCAGGCAGGCAGGAATGCAGATTTGTGATTTCATGCCCAACATCTCAGAGCTGTGGGACCTGCAGCTCCTGGACAGCAGTAACAACATGGCTGGGCTTTCACTCACAGCAGCACACTCACAGCTTTGGTACAGCAACACTGCACACACAGATTACTCTGTGCCAGATGCTTTGCAGTTACTTTGTGTACAATGCTACACATTACAGTACATAAGCAATAGTTTCTCAAATGATAAGTGACCAACTCTGGTTATACATATTTACATACATGGATTTGTATGGTACCAGTTAGAAAATAAGAGCACAGTGCGGCAAGTGGAGTAAACTGGATATCATGAGAAACAAGAACAGAACCCAATTTTCTATAAACAATATCTCTTAAAATTACTTGATGCTCCAAGTGTACTTACAAGGGAATACTGCTTGGATTTGATATCAATTAAGCTTTTAAAATAATTTAGTGCCCTCAGGTGGCAGAACTAGATACTTCCTCCACCAAACAAATTATTTCAAAGCTTGAATGAAGGAAGGATTTGTTCATAACGTTTAGAAACTCAGGAGCAATATTCTGATTTCAAACTATATGCCTGCCAACCCAGTATCTAATTTTAATTAAATATCTGCTTTATAAATAAGGATACCAGAGAAGTACTGAATTACTTTGTTTGTTTGTTTGTTTTTTTAAGAGATAAATATAACTACAAAGCAATGGTTTAACAAACGCACACTGAAATACTTACAATTCTTTTTTAAGTTCTTCCACTTTCTTGTTCTCCAGGTTCAGGAGCTCTTTTGATTTAGTGAGTTCCTCTTCATTTTTCAAATTGTTTTGTTTAAGCATGTCCAACTTAAAGAGAAAAAAATACCAATTACACAAATGAACTATGCTGTCTTCAGGTGCATCACTTGGAAAAGTATTCAGGAAAACAGAGGCCTGAGCTGAGCTGTTCCTTTTTGTCATTTTTGTTCATTAAATTAATTCAAACCATTTGAACTGAGAAGCATTTGTCCAGCAGAACAGGTTGAGCCCTTCTGAATTCAAGTCCAGAGCACAAAGAATTCAATCTCCTCTTCAGAGCAGCTTACAGTAATCTGATGTATGGACCCTGGTATAAAAGGTAAAACTCCAAAGCACCTCCATTTTAAATGCTATGCATCTCAAAGCTTTTTTGTCTTTTCTTTTTTTTAATAACTCAATACTGCATGTTGAAATCAGCTCTTCTCTTTGATATTTAGTCCTCTAAAATAACTGATAGGAAGTTCTCCTTTACCATACCTTAATTTCTGAGAAACAGAAGGCTGAATGTTGTGCTTGCAACCATAAGAAATCAATTCCTTCCAGAGATCTTGTGGCACAGGTCAGATTGCTGCTTATCTATTTACTGAGCTTGCATTTACCAGTGAAATCCCACAGGCTTGTGAACCTTGTTTGCATTCACTGACACATTATATTACATAACAGATAATCTTCAGCCACTCTCATGGCATTACAGACCCTGTGCATGATTTTTTTTTTTTTTTTAATCCCAAAAGAAACTCCTGCCATTATTAACGTCATTGCTTTTAATTCTCGAGCCATCAGATCTCCTTGGAAAACACTACTGTTTCTGAACAGCTGTGGCACTTAGGTTAGCCCAGCTGTCCACTGCCCATTATTAGGAGAGCTGCACAAGACGAAATGATGACCAAAAAGAGGCAACAGAGTGCTCCACATCTGCAGAAAAGCTGCCAGCTGGATGTTAGATGAAGATATTCTGGGGCCTAAGAGTGCAGAGGAGATTAGTGAGGGCATTCTCCCTGCCCTCAAACCCTGATGTATGGCAGAGTGGCAGGGCACAGACTGAAGAACAGGCGCTCAGAGGAACGCTGTACTTGTTGGACTGTGAGTTCTTTGGGACAGCTGTGCTCGTGCTTTTGTGCAGCACGCTTCACTGCAGTGTGAGGCTGCACCCAACACAACTTTAGGGAACCAAAGCACCAGTCTGAGCTGTGTTTCATAGCAGAAAGTGACCAAAGCCTAGAACACAGATTTCACACGCTACATAGACACTGCGAGAAAGGTCCAAATCACTCACAAGCTAGGCAATACTTTTCATATAAAAGCATTTAAAAGTGATTACTTCATTCTGCAGCTTCTCGTTTGTCTGTCTGGAGTTCTCCAAAGATGCCAAAGTTTCAATCTTTTCTTGGTGAATGGCATCCTTCTCTTTGGTCACCTTCTCCATGGTCTGTAAAACTTCTTCTGCTCTTTTGTCAGCCTATGTATAAAGGGAGGATGGAAGGAAAGGAAGTATTACCAGCGGGACATCTGAAAGCAAAAGGGGAACCACAATACTTTACGCACAGCTCAACTGTTTGCCAGCTGCTTTCCAATTAAACACGGACTTCAACAGGAATGTACTTGCATTCTGAAGCTGCACAAAGTATGAAAATCAGTGGTCATGAGTAGATTCACTTCCATGCAGAAATTGATTGGGATCTCATACTTGTGTCACCACTGAGGAAGCGCGTTTCTTCTTTTTAATCACCTGGATTTCTATTTACCGCCGCTGAGATTGCTCTTAGATTTCTGAACACTTTAGAGAGTAGCAGCTCAGTAGAGATTCACTTCCAACACACCGCTCCATTTTCAGAAAATGTGAAATTACAAAAAATGCTAAAAATGTGAGAATAAGTTAAAAATTAAATAACAAATAAAGCCAATGATCACATTGTTTTAGTGTTGTTCATTATGCCCTCATAAAATGAAATTATTTGTAAGTGTATTTTAATACCTAGGCAGGCATAATGCATTCCTGTAGGATATCTCAATTCCATTTTGCATTAAAAATGATTTTATGGGCTTCAAGCCAAAGAAAAATTCAAGCTACTATTCAGAAGTTGTTGGTGGTGAATACAGAACACTTCTGTGAATAAAAAGAACACAGTGGTTGCCAATATCTGAAAGTCCTACATTGCAAATATAAATGGTTCTCCTGCAATGTTTTCTTAATCCAATGACATTTACAGCAGCAGGACACTGTTTTGTACTTTTGGAGTAACACAGATTTGTATTTTGTTGCAATTCCTCCTCCAGCTCTTAAGCTGCAAAGTACTTTGACAGAGGAACTGCCCGGTTTTCCTAATAGATTCAGAAAACAAACCTTCCTTTTATTCACAGTTTATGTTGTTTTCTTGCAACATTCAGCAACAACATAGGCTCCCATGTTTAGGAATTATTTAAAAATAAATGTTATAATTGAAATGTCTTTCAGACTCACAACCTGAAAAAAATCCAAGGTAATGAGAACAAAATTCCAGCCTGTTCATACTGAGGTGCTGATTGTGCAATGAAGTGCAGAGAGAAAACCATTGAGTTAGTGCTCAGTATTAGTATAACCATACTTGATTGTTTATGTGTTTCAATACCTCAATTTTTTGCACAAATGTTTGGGCCTGGAGAGTCTCTATTTCTCTTAGTTTCAAAGCCAGATTGCTCATCTCCTCCAGCAGCAGCTCATGTTTTTCCTCAGAGAACAGCAGTCTGCATGAGAAGTCTGCATCAGTTTGCTCTAGAAGTGCCACTACTTTCTCACGCAGTTTGCAATATTTTTTGGACAATTTCTCCTTCTCTTTTATTATTTCTTCATTAATGATGACCAGGCTCTTCCACTCAGCATGCAGACTTTCATTTTCCTGAACTAACTCCATTTTCTCCTTCTCCATCGCCTCATATCTGTGCTGAAGTTCATCCTGCATCACAGAGACACAGCTGTGCATGTCCTCAAGCTCTGCTTTTGATGCAGACAGGGAAGTAAAGTCACTCTTCAGTTGCTCAATTTTGGACGCCAGCTGCTCTGTTTCTGTACAGAGAACCTTTTTTTCTTTAATTACTTCCTCCAGTTTAGTTTCAGATTTTTCTTTTTCCTGAACCAGAAGCTCTTTCTCAGTCAGAAATTCTTTATTTTTCTCTCTCATCACTTCCATCTCCTTCTCTAAGAAACTAATGCTGTTTTGTAGCTCCAAACGTTCCAACAAAAAGGATTCCTTATCCAATATTCTAGCTTTCTTTTCTACGGTTAAGTTTTCTTTCATATTCTCAACCTCATCAGTTAATTTCTGGCATTTCTCTTGTAATTCCGTCCTCTCTCTGTTCAGTATTTCTATATCAGAGGAAAAGGTACTGAATGAAGATGACAGGACCTGCTTGGCAAGTGATACAGCAGCCAGTTCATTTTCTAATGTTCTTCTGGCATCCTGGGCCTCCTTCAGAAGATCTGAAAGGTCACTTTTACAGGCTATCAGCTCTTGATTTTCTAGCTTCTTTTTCTTTAGTTCCTCCTCGAGGGCTTCAATGGAATCTTTGAGGGTGGCATTCTCTTGGACCAGAACACTCCTGGCTGAGAAATCCAGCTCCTGCTCTCTCTTCATTTCAGAAACTGTGTTTTCAAGAGACTTCTTCTCATCAACAAGCTCAGAGTACTTTCTCTCCAAACCATCCTTCTCTTGCAGAAGAGCTTCATTGTGCTTTTCAAATTGCAGTGACTTAGAAAAAACAGATTCCTTTTCCAAGTTCAAATCATTTATCTTCTCAGTGAAGGCTCTCTCAGCAAGCTCAGCATCTGCTGTGGCCTTCGCGAGCTTTTCAGTAACTGCCTTATTTTCATTTAGCAGTTTCTCCCTTTCAGTCAGAAGCCTTTGTTCTGATGCAGAAAGAGCCTCTTGAAGCAAATAAATACGTTCAGAGTTAGATGTCTCTCTTGAGGATTTCATTTCCTCAAGAAAATTAGAGAGATTAGAAAGGGAAGCCTTCAACTCCATATTGTCTTTTGTCATCTTTTCAAGTTTCTCACGCTCAGCCTCTAGTTCTGTCTGCATCTCGTCTCTTCTCACTTTTAATGCCTGTTTTTCACTAACACTATTGGCCAAACTCACACACAGCTCTTCTCTGCTTTTAAGGAGCATCTCCTTCTCAGACTGCAGACTCTGATTTGTCTGCAGCAGACAGTCAATTTGAGTTGTTAAGGCTATATGTGTACTGTTAAGATCCAAGTATTTTTCCTGGGCTGAATCTCTCTCTGCAGTCAGAGTTGACACTTCTTGCAGTAGCTCTCTTTGACTTCTAGCCAGGTCATCATAAGAACTTTGCAGTTTCTGAATGACATCATCTTTGTCTTTAATGACTGCATCATTCTCTTCCAAAAGCTTCTTCTGATAACGCTCCAGTTCTTTCCATTCCTTGATATGTTTCTGACATGCCACATCCATAGCATCTTTGTTGGCCTGAAGTTCTTTCAACTGCTGGAGCAAGGTTGACTCTGAAGACCGGAGAGCATCATTTTCTTGAGTTACCTTCAGAAGATCTGCCTGTGCTGTCTCTATTTCAGAGAGCAATTTGCTTTGCTCAGAAACCAGTGCTGCCTTTTCTGTGCTTTCCTGACGACTTTTGGCCTCAGCTTCCTCTTTCTGCTTTAAAATTTTTTTATTTTCTGAATTAAGTTCTTCATTTTTTGCCCAAAGCTCTTTTCCGTCTTTCTCAACTAACAAAATCTTTGACTCCATCTCTAGGTGCTGTGATAACAGTGACTCCTTCTCTAATTTTAGAGTATTCCTCTCCTGTGCCAGAGTCTCTTTTTCTGATATTAAATCCCTCATCTTGTCTGACATTAGTTCAATCTCTTTCCTGGCTGATGCTAACACAGAGCTCAAGGACTAAAGAAATAAAGTGAGGGAGAAGGGAAAACAAAAATGAAGTCAAGCAGACAAACGAGAAATATGGATTAAGGGCAAACAGTGCTACTGTGATTTAAGTTTTTTAAAAAACTGTATATATTCTGGCACAGAGCCCTTCTGCAAACTAAACTGTTGACAACACACCAATGATATTTCATTAAAAAACATCCACAAGGAAACACTGTGGTGGTTTCATTAAAATATCATAGTTTGAAGGCTACTCCATATAAAACCTCATCACGTTTTTTAAACTGCTCTGAATGACTTTTCTGAATGAAAACTGCTCAGAAAGAAGAGCTACAGAATGGTTTCATCAGAATCTAAGTTAAAATGCGCGTTACATGCTGCCTTCAATTCCCAAAGTAACCTTCTGTAATTAGTTCTCCTCAAGATTCTGCCCAAGAAATATTGCCAAAACACCATGTAAGTGATGTACCTAAAAGTTGACTTATTTGCCAATTAATATACTGAACATTTTGCTGAAGCACAAAATATTATAGCCACTAATCTGGGATGAAAGCAAGCAGGAATGTCAAAGAAACAAGAGACAAAATGTAAATCATTCAAGTCAAGATTCATATCAAATAGCTGTACATACTACAGAGCAAAACTTCAAGTGTGTAACACCTTTCAATGAAGTATTTCACAACATATTTAAAATTCATGCACTTGTAACACTGAGAATAATATTTGGCTCTAACTTACTGTCAAGTAAGTCAATCAAGTATCTATGAACATAAAATGGCAATGTCAAAGCATCACACTGCATCTAGAGGCAATAACCAGCTGGTTGCGTGTGCTTCATTTCCCTAATCAACATTAACTAACCCTGGAAAAATTCAAACACTGTAAATCAACTACTATAAAATGGTGAAGCCAGGAAAAAAAAACAAACAAATCAATGTGTCACTGAAATACGAAGATTTGAACTTGAAATTACTTGCAAAGTAAGGAAGTATACATACTTTAGCCTGTTCTGCTTGCTTTTTCAGCTCCTCAGCCTGTGTTTCCAACTCATCATTTTTCTTTTGTGCAGTTTTTAGTGCCTCTTCTGCATCCAACAAGTTCTGCTTAAACCCTTTGATATCTGCATCGTGTTTGCTGATCATCTCAGAAGTTTCTTTTTCATACTTTGCCTGAAGATCCTTATACTGATTTTCACTGGTCTCCATTTGCTTTTTCTAATAGAAAATAAAACAGTTGGAACACAGATGCAGAGGTACATCACAGTAACTATTCTCAATATAGTTAGCTAGTGCTTTTTAAACATCTTACTATGTCCATTAGTTGATCCTGCAATTTTTTCAGCTCTTCTTGATGAGTCTTGAGAGTTTCTTGCTGACTCTGCTCAGCTTTCTGTGCTGTCTGTTCCACATTTTTCTGAAGCTGAACAGCCTTTTCATTTGCTTTTGTAAGCTCAAATTGTATTTGCTCCAACTGCCTAAGAAGACCAAATAAAAGAACATTACTTTTAGCTGACAGCATGACAAACTCTGAGGTGAAAGACTCTGAATTATGCTGAAGTCCTATATTCTGTCCAAACATTTAGAAAGAGATTTTATTATTTAACATAATTGGAACATTATTTAATTCTGCTAAATTAAATGTACACATGCAGGAACGAGCATTTGGTTGCATGCACAGCAACACTTCTGCCACTTAACTCGAGCCCTGCCTGGGTTTCTGTAAAAATAGATTGTGCATACGATAGTTTTTATTTGAAAGAAACTACATTTTCTCTTGCTGGTCAAAAAAGAAACTGAAGGATCTCTTCTGTATTGAAATAAAACAAGTTTTTGGGGTAACTAAATAGTTATGAAGCACAATCATGAGACAATGTACCCCTAAAATGTTTGTTTATTCTGGACTGTTAAAAGTGTATGTCACACCGAATTGCAGAAACTAAAAAACACCCAAGACTCTCTTCAAGTAAATGTGAGGAGACTATTTTGATGAATTAAGTCTGATAGACTAAATTCACTTGTCACATCAATGTTAGACCCAATGTGACTATCTTGCTCAGCTATCTGCAAAGAGAAAATGAGAAGCAGGGAATGCAGGAGTAAAGAATTAGTGAGAAAATATCTTGAAATGATGGAATACCTTTCTTTTAACCGTAGCTCATCATTCATTTTCATAAGCTGGGCAGAGCTGTCTCCTGATGACTTCATGATCTCTGCAATATCATTTTCTAGTTTGGCTTTAGCTTCAGTCAGTTGCTGTTCTCTCTCTTCTCTTTCCTTCAGTTTAGTCTCCATCACTGAGCAAGACAAAGGTTAGTAGTCTAGTAAGCTTAAGAGAAAGGGTATGCACAGATTAGCTAGAAGACCATAAAAAACTAAAAACAAAATTATATTGATACTACAGACCATCTGAATTATCCTTCTGAAACTAAAAATTATACCTGGTTTGAACTTCACACTTTTAGCTGTAGCAGAAGATTAAGAACACTTTAGCAATAGTGGTAAAGCAACCAGCTAAAAGATCTTTGTTTCAGAAGTGATTCACTTAGTTCAGGACACAAGAACTTGTGCTATAGGTATCAGATAGAAATGAAGCAATATAACAATAGAGACATCACACCTCACCAACAGCACAGCAGGAAGAACAATGCAAGCATCATGAAGTGACAGTAAAAAAGTCATGAAATCACAGAATGGTTTGGGTTGGAAGGGACCTTACAAATAATCAAGGTTCCAACCCCAATGCCACGAGCAGGACTCCAGCCACCAAAGCTTGCTGCCTACAGCCCCATCCATCCTAGTCTGAGCACCTCCAGGGATGGGGCACCATAGCTTCTCTGGACAACCTGTTCCAGTGCCTCCCCACCCTCACAGTGAAGAAATTTTTTCCTAATGTCTAATCTAAACCTATCCTCTTTTGGTTTAAAGCTGTTACCTCTTGTCCTATCACTATACTCTCTAAAAAATTGCTCCCCAACTTTCCTATAGGCCCCCTGTGCATACTGGAAAGCTGCTATAAGGTTTTCTGAAGCCTCCTCTCTCTTCAGGGCAGAGCTGCTCCAGATTTGGATCATCTTTGTGGCCCTCCCCCACTCCCACCCTGTCCACATCTCTCTTGTGCTGGAGGCCCAGCACAGTGACTTGGTACAGGGCAGGTACTGTCCTTGCTTACAGGGTATACAGTCATTAATTTCTTTCTAGACCAGTTTTGAATTAAGATATACAACTAGAAGGACAGAGCAAGCCTCCTGTGAGAGGCAGGAAGAAGTAGACGATCAGACTAACATGCAGTCTTTATGATGTCCTTAAAAAGGGGAATACTAATTATGCTTCTGTTTGGTCACCAAGTCTTTGCTGGGTACCTAACCATTATCACATGATTTTGTAGCAATGTTAAAGCAAGAATTTAACTACTGATTTGGAATACACTCAGCTGGGAAATGTTTTGCCTTACTGCACTATTTCCTTAATACAATGGTCATCTTGCTGTGTCATTATATGCAATGCCACAAAAGGTTTCTTTTGATGGTGTATGCATTTGTGAAAGCACTGCATACTACGAAAGATATGGGAAGCTGAGCAGGAGGCATAAGAAAGCACAAAGCTGATGCATATTTCAAAATATTCCATTTCATTTCTTCCTTACCAGTCAAATTAGACTTCAGCTGTTCCAGTTCTGAAGACATGAGTGCAAACTGTTCTTCTTTTTGGTTTAGTTTTTCTATTGTTTCTAAGCAAGCAAAATTTTAAAGACAAAGTTAGTAACTACTTAGATGCAAATAATTCCACCTATTTGCAAGATATGCTGCTCTCAAGAGGACAGACTGCAAGTGGCCCTGTCTTTTCCCTAGCTTCTAAAACCGCTGTGTTGCCAAGTTTAAATTTGAAAGAGCATGAAGACTTTATTTTGCAGTATAGTTTTCTACAGCTTTTTAGTTGTCACTTATTTCACAGCAGACATACCTTGCATCGCGCGATGAGCATTTTCTGTTCCATCAGCTGCACTAGTAAATTTTTCTTTCTGAAAAATGGACAAAAACTTGAGGTAAGATTTGATGTTAATAGTATAATTCAGCCACTGAATTTATATTGGGTATTCTACATGTAGAAAACAAACCATATCTATTTATGATAGGAGTGAAAACTGAAGTTTCTGAATTACAGCTTAGCACTAATCTATTCAGCAACATAATGCAAGGCTGATCTCTTGCCTCGGTTGCAAGTCCCTAAGCTTTCAGAATAAGCTCTCCATAGCAAAAGAACTGCAGACAGCCCAGTGTAGGAAACATGAGTTCTGGGCTTCTCAGTGTAAGAAGCTACCCACGTTATTCAAAGGCTGCACAGTGGACATCTGCAACGCTGTGATCAATCTCATACCAGTGTTTTCCAGCTCTACCAGCAGAAAGAGATGCTACTGGAAAACAAGGGAAGATGCTGAAGAAGACATTAAGTGAGACACTGACATTAATGTCAACTATGGCCAAGGAAAGATTTTATGACAAGGACAGTGAAACTAAAGGAGCATGGCTTCTGTTGCTAACCATGGTGTTCAGGAGAATTGCACCCACCCACAGAATGCTTACAAATGGAATCAGGTGAAAAATGTCTTCAAAAAACATTTGCAAGATGTTCCTATAGTGAGTATTAATTTATATAACAGGTCACACATCCCTTAATAGTCTAAATTTAAGCTGCATGACACCTTTCATGTGGTTTAATATTTCACGTGTGATTTCTTAACAGATAATTTCTATTTAGACAAAACAGCTGATAAACACAAGTCAAGTGAGATCTTCCTTTCATTTTGAGATGGATCCTATTTGTCATGAGTCAGTGCCTTTTTTTTGTAAGCACTTTGGAAGACTTTCTCAGAACTGATCCTCAGAATTTAATTATGCTCTCAGCACAACAACCAAAATCCGAAGGAAAAAGCCAAAATTTTTGAGTACTACTCACCAAAAGTTGAAGTTCCTTTTCCAAAGAATCTTTAACTTGATTTACTGCACTCAAGTTTTTCTCAAGGTCAAGAAGCTTTTGCTCTTTGCCCTGCAGTTCTTTGGCCAGATTACTAGCCTAACAAAGATGGTTAAATGGAGTGAAACGAAATTACAAACATGAATGAATAAAAAATAGAGAAATTAAAAGTTGACTTTGAAGAAAATAACTATAATATTAAAATCATTGTAAGATGAACAAAATGAAAATTAAAAAAAAAAAAAAAAGGAAGAAAAAAATGTAATGTGTTAACTGAGTGAAGCTCATTTCCACTGATGACTACATCACAGTACTGATTGGATCTTGGAACGTGATTGAAATAATTGAAATGTAGTTATCTTAGAATTAGAGCACTTGATGGTAGACATTCTGGAGCACACTGAAGCATTTCCAAAGAGTTACAGAATCAGTTAAATTGGTAGTTTTGGTTCTTAATGGATTTTTCTTTGGTTTTAATTTTTTTAACATGTAGCACTGTATGTTTCAACTGGCTATTCACACCAATACACACAGGGATGCCATTTTCCAAAAGATTCTGTACCTCACCCAGGATAGTGCAGAAATTCAGTGTGAGCTAAAAATGTGGTGCCAATAGTCCACAAAAGTCAAGTATCTTGGAACCATCTGTGAAGGGTTTAGGAGAGCTCCTTTAGCTACCTTCCCACTGCTCTTAAAATTGGAGTTCTTGCTTGTCAGGTTACGCGCTGACAGGGGGTTTGCCCAAAGCCCCAGAATGAAATGAAATCTTAGCACTTTTATTTCTAGCTGCAGTGGCAGAACAACTTTCTGTACTGAATACCATACTGACAGCCTTAAAGAGACATCCAAAACACCAATAAAAAATCTTGGTAAGATACATCAAGCTGCAGTCTGTGCTTCAAAAATGCAATGAGAAGGTCCCTGACAACACTGCTGCATACCTTTATCTTAAAGAAAAATTCCTCCAGGATCTTTGTTTCACTTTTAATAGCACTCTGCCTCTTCCATCATCATCTTTGATGATAGCAAAGGTAGTAAAGATACTGCTGGCACAAACTGAGAACAGAGAATCTCTCTACAACTCAGTGCAATCATCAGAGGAGAAAACCCACTGAACCCCACGTCACTACGCCAATAGTTCTAGCATCAACAGTGAAAAACTCGTATATTAAGGCAGAGGGCTCGTCTCTCAAATAAGCCAAAAAACTAACCTTCCATTACACAAAGCTTTCCACATAGGCATGTTTTCCTTTTGCTGAGTGGTGCAGACCAAGCAATAGAACCTGTTCAGAGATCTGACCCAATTAACACTTTCTCTAAACCTCCTCAGATGGTACAAAGACACACTGCTAATAACAAGTTTTTGGCTTTTTTTTCTGTGATGAGTTTGCCACAGCAGTTTAGAGCAGTAAAAATGTAAAAACAAAAACAAAGTAAAAATAAAAGGATGGATGTTGATACAAACCTTGCTACTTCCATCAACCTTTTCAGTCTCTAAATTCTGTATCTGTTTCTCAGCTGCCTCAAGCTGCTCGCTAAGTTTCTGGATTTCCAATTTACCTTCAGAATTGGCTTTCTGAAGTGCAGCAAGGTCCAAAAGCTTTTCTTCAGAAGCTCTGATCTGTTGTGTAAGACTACCAATAAGTTTGGTTTGTTCATTGCACTTGGCTTGCAGTACATCTAGCTCCTTTACCTTTATTTCAGCTTCCTGTAATTTGTTTAAAGTGTCTTCCATTTCTACTAGATGCTGATCTTCCACACTTTCCAGTTTGGTCTTCAGGTTTTCCAGGGTTTGCTCTTTCTCCTCTGTGACCGCCAGCAATTTTGCCTTCAGTGCTTCAATCTCCTTTAAATGATGAGATTTTTCATTTTCCTGCTTCAGTTTTAAATTTGACATTTCATTCTCGTAGTCTAATTTAACCTTCTCCATCTGTGCTTTTAACTCTGCAAATTCTGCTGTCTGAGCCCCTGCACCTTTGCTGAAAGAAGCTTTCAGTTCTTCCATTGCTTGCTGATGGGAAGCAATTGCAGATTCCAGCTTCGATTTCCACAGCTCTATTACATCTGAATTCTCTTTGTTGGCATGATCAAGCTTAGTTTTCAATGATTCGTTTTCTTTTCCCATTCTCTCATTTGAAGCTGTAAGCGTTTTGATCTCTTTCCGCAGCGCTTCTTCACTGCTTTCAAACTTCTCTTTCAGAGAGCTCATCTCGCGCTGATGCTCTTTGCCAGCTGCTGCCATTTTTTCTTGCAAAGCACTTATTTCTTGTAACAATGAAAGAGAAGTATCCACATCATCAATGTGTTTACTAGACTCTAATCTCCCTCGAAGCTCAGCTACTTCCTTCACCCGCAATGCTAGATCTCTTTCTAGTTCCATGATGCGAGATTTTTCTGATACTGTAGCCACCTATGATTAACAGCATTTTAAGAAAAGAAGAAAGAATTATAAAAGTCATAAGTTTAATACATGGAGACACTTAGACCGCAGTGAAAAGAAATCACCAAGCGTTGCAAACCAACATCATGAGCCTCCTCTTACCAGCGGTTTAGATTATGATGCCTTTGAGCTTCACTGCTAACTCCTATTTCTATGGAAATGCTAAAGAAAGCTTAAGAAAATACTGTTTTTATATGGAAGGCTGTGAAACAAGACCAACTGTTAATTCATTTATGCATAAATTATCACTGAAGGAAAGAAAATGTACAGATGCCCACATCTTTCTATTACGTGCGCATTATGTTCTCCCTAAAGATGCAGTTTATTTAAACTCATTTTTCTGAAGGTATTGGCAAATAATAACTTGCTAAAGAAAAGCCTGCAAAGTTGCTTCTGTACATTATCAACATTCAACAAAATGTTTCTTAGAACCATTGTAAAGCAGATGGAAAAAAGATGGGAGAGCCCCCAGTTCTCTAACTGCTGTAATAACTGCTTCCAAATTCATAACTCAAGCACGAGACTGTCAGAAAAACATACAACTGCCTTTTTGGCATATGGATCCTCTGAAACTTCTTCCATATTCACTCCAATGTTCTCCTGAAAAACCTTCCTCACTTCATCTGAGCTTTTCAACAAATATTACAGACATTTCTGGTATGAAAATCACACAAAACCAGAACAATGACATCTAATTAGGAAATCAATGCTTCAGCCTTCTTATTATCCAACAGCCTAAAAAGACACCACTGTCTGCAACTGCTCCTTAACAGTACTTATTGTAGGTGATGTTCTCGGACATTTCTAATATTCATCCCTACCTTAACTTGAAGAAGAGCTGTGTGTGTGCATGAATATATATGTACGCTTTCAAGAAGGCAATCAATTATACGTAATATGACACATACTCAGCTTTCTATCCCTATCTATACAGAAGAGTCAATACTCTTCATCTCCCTGATTAAAGAAAGTGGTTGGAAGGGACAAAGAAATGTAGGAAGTATTATCTGAAGGGAGCAGTGGATAAACCACTATAAAAGCAATGAGATTATTAAAAATGTGCAGATAATTATAAAGACAAATAAATGAATTTTGAGCATGATACAAAAACTGTCAAGCGCTCAGCAGCCTATTCTGCAGTGTGCAGAACAGAAGAAAAACACATGTGACTTTTTCATCCTCTTTACTGATGAAACAATTTATAAAAGGGGAATAGGTGAAAAAATAAATACATATATCCTGCAGATCCTGCAGGAAAAAATGATTCACAGTAGAGAACTGTAGCATTTCTTTCCAGTTGACATCGCTTCATGAGTTTTAAAGATTTGTGATGACTTTTTGGGTTTTTTCAGAGCGAGATAACAATATTTGCTTTTTTACTTCTAACACAAGAAAAGATGTATCATCTAGAGGAAGTTTACACATTGTCCTGCAGGGAACTCATCACTCTGAGAAAAAGGCAGAATTAAATTCATTGCTTCATTACATCAAGGGACTGTGAAAGATTCACACTGTAAGACATAAAAGAACTGGCACTCCTGGTTTATTTCCATTTCATTGCTCTAAACTGAAAATGTATCTGACTGCTCATCTCTAGAAGCAGATTTACAGGTTTTCTGTAATAAAAACCCCTAATAATAGAGCCTGAATGGTGCACTGTTATCTGTTACTCATTATAAAGATGCCACATTCCAGAAACAATCAACTGCAGCATCTTACTGGATATGTACTTATCTGTAAAGAATTTAGGACAAAGGGCACTTATCAACAGTGGCTTATCATTGGGCATGACCAAGATCACCGAGGTGCTGCTTCAGAGCTGGCCAGAACCACAGCAACTGATCACAAAGTACAGGGGGTTTCGCTGGGTTCCTTCCCCCAGGGAGCCCCGAGGTAACGGGGCAGATCGCTTCTCGGCCTTCTGGTGAAGAGCAAGTGTAGAACTGCACTATTCACAATTATTCAGGGTTGATTTTGATCAGAGCATTAGTTGGAATCGTGGACATTTCAGATTTCCTGTATTTGAGATTTTATGAATTATTCATCAAATATTAAATTGAAAAGTTAAAAAAAAAAAAAAAAAAAGAAATACATCAAAACCTGTCATAACTTTCCAGGTGCAAGGACACCCAAATGTAACTATGAAGTACAGCTTTTCATTCTTCTTGGATCTTTACTTTTAAGTAAGCACAGGTACACAATAAAATGTTATAGCACAACAGACTTTGCTAACAGACACATGTTGAACTGCTGAAGTCAACTCCACCAGTCCTCTGAGCCTTGCTCCAAATACAACGAACACAGTTAGCACCTTCCTAGAAAGAAAAGCCTCTGTTCTCTTAGAAACATGCTGAAAATCTGTCCTGGGCCCAATGCTGAGTAATATTTTGACAGCAGCATTGTTACTAATGCTACTGAGGTACTCAGGAAAATATTGTGTCATTGGTAGAAAAAAAAGAATTAAGAAGTCCTTGTCGTAGCAAAGCAAGCAGCACAACCACCATTTCTGAGTTAAAAGCACTGGCACAGTGGAATTACTTCTCTTGGATATAATGAACTTTGCTACTTCTAAAAATGAACCACTGAGCATTCCTTTCTGTCTGCTCACAGTCCCATGTGCCACTTCTGACACGGATTCAAGTACTGATTTTGCACTTTGACGTCATCTTACCTGGATTCTCCTGAAGAAATGAGCACACGTACACAGCTACACACACACAGCACCGACACTCAAAAGCAATGCTCATTTTTACAAGTGTTGCAGCTACAGGAGGTTCGTGGCAGGTGCAAGATCTCTTTCAGCATGTGTTACACCCGGCAGACTGCGTCACCAGAAATCTTCCACAATACAAATCAGTCTTATTGAAATAGTGAAAACCATTACCCTAGTGTCTTCTAACTCCCTCTGGAGTTTGTCAGCTTTGGTCTTTTCAAAGAGCAGGCTCTGTTCAAGCTCCTTAATGCGGGCATGCTCCAGTTTGGTCTGCGTCTGTTAGTAAAAAGGGAAAGGAAGAGAACACAACGGTGCCACCATCACATGCCAGCACACAAGGAGGGAGCCACATGCAGGCCGTGCTGCCAGAATCTTCTATCAATGATGAGCAGAGAAGATGCAGTGGATAAAATGAACAGGGAAATACTATGGATGAGAAAGATGGGCTGAAAGTGTAAATGGACGGATGTGTAAAAAAATTTTTTTAAAATCACAAAGAAATATGGACAAAAGTTTCATGCAGCCAAGTAGAAGTTATTTATCAGTACATGAAGTTTTCAGCACAAATTAGAGTAGTTATGAAAAAGTACATAAAATATAAATATATACCTACACCTGTTCTAAGAGGATGATGCATCCCTTTCCTTGTCATTTCACTAACTTCTTTCTTCAATGCACTGGTTGTATTATTCACATGATGTATTATGAACCAGGGGATGAAAATTCACCACTAAAGCTCACGTGACAAATCAAGCTTTTTTTTTCTTTTTTAATGTGATATTAATTAGCTGCATCTTAAGTCTCAGTCATAGAAATGCTTTTGGTGAAGATCTGGGAATATTACAGTTCATTTGTCACCACAGTATGAATTGTATGAACAGAAAGAGCCTGGCTGTCTGAATGGTAACTGCAGAACCTTCCTAATTTATCCCTCTCCTCCTCCAGAAAGTAAGCAAGCAACAAGATTCTCCAAAACCAGGGGACACAGGGAAATAGTCTGGTTGCTCTGTAATTGCTGAGGACTGCATAATGAAACAAGATGTGGAACTGGAAAGATTGAAAAAAACAAACAGAACAACAGAAAAACCCAACTTTGCCCTTCTTTGAAGAACCTCAAGGAAAGCGGGAAGTACATGAAACTAAGCTGTCACCTCCTGCCTTCTGTTTACAAAGGGGTAGAACTTTTTTGGCAAGCACACAGAAAACTGAGTACTTGGGCTCCAAGAAACTCCAAGAAGTGTTGCATGAGAACTTGAAATTGGAGAGGTGCGGTGAAGTCCAGCAGTCAGTTCAAACCTGACCTCCTTACTGACGTGATGAAAGGAAAAAAAAGTAATACAGAGTTAAGAACCTCAGTGCTGTGCCACTCCTGAAATGAAGAGAGCTGATTTGTTTGCAAGTGTGAAACAATCCAAATTAAAAGGACTATGAAAGTGCACCGTTTCCTATGTCTTTTCAAAGAAAAAGGGCAGTTTCTCAGAGCTCGCCCACACAAGAGTAAGGTGGATCTCCAGAAATGAATGCGGCTCTGTCTGGGTATGCTAAGACGTGCTTTGCTGCTCAAGAAATTGCATCCATCAGACTCGATGAAAGTTCTCTATCACAGTGTAGCTGCAGCGGTGACTTTACTACAGAACAAAATCAGACAGCCCCACACCTTATGACTGCCTTTAAGAGAGGAGAGGTCCTGCAGCCCGGTGAGATAACTGAAGAGTGGATTGAAAGAAACCCAAAGGAAGAGCATGCATAACTCCAAAGCCACACTGCTGCCAAACCCACAGCAGTGCACACAGCTGGCAGGACACTGCTGCTTCTCTCATCTTCGTAAGATGGTATTTAAAAGTCCCTACAGAACTGTGTTCTTTATAGAGGGACAAGATGATTTGCACTGCCTCCAAACCAGCCACAGCAGTTACAGATTGTGTGTGGTCTCTGCAAAGAAAGACAGACAGGGATGACACTTGTTTTGCTTCAGGCCTGTTCTCCTTCAATCACAGTATTCCTTCAGACAGCATCATTTATTATTGTCTTCTCCCAAAGCATGCTGACATCTGGTGGTTTCAAATGTCCTTTTAAATGTTTTTCCAGCTGAATGGAGTTGGCTGGTTTACTGTGAAGTTAGTTACAAGGTCTGAAATACTAAAATCCATCAACATTAAACTTACTTTTTAGATTTGTGCTGTTTGATATTCCATAGCAGATTAATTTCTCCAGCAGTGGAAGATATTCAGTGCAGATGAAAGAAAAAAACATGAGAATGTGGCTTATCAGTTTTGCCTCCCATTGGCTTTGGAAACAAAAACATTCTAAGGTAAATAGCCGTTTTTGAAATGGCTGTAATCAGTCCTCTCTCTGAGACTGACTGGCATTACTTCTAAGTCTGAAAACTAAGCTATTTTTAAAAATTGAGTATTCATCTCTTTCCTGCTCTCATTCCCAAAAGGGATTCATTAGAAAACAAGCCTCAAACCTTACAGTTGCAGAATTCTCCTTTCATCATTGCAGGATACATTATCTGAAGATTTTCTATACTATGTAAAAACCAGGACACTTTCATCACTAATTTTACAGACATCACGTTAGTACTGCAAAGATCAGATACACCACCACTGATTACCAGCTTTTTAAATGCCATCTCCAGTATCTCTCAAAGAAGAAATTAAAATACTACCACGATGAAAATAAAAACTCAAAGAAAAACTCAGCAAAACAAAACTGCTCCAGAGATCTTTGCTGGACACTTTCTCCCCATTTAGTAGATGGAAGATTATTCTTTCAACAAATGTGATTTCTGAGGGACAGCCTCCAGTTTCCCTGAGGCAACAATCACTGCAAAATTTTTAATCAAAGTACTGATCATCTGAAGAGCAACGTCTGAAGAATTATGGTCCTCTGTGAGGAAACTGAGTGCACAGCAAACTGACAAGAGCAGAGTACTACAAAAAGAAGAACTGGATTGCATACCTTAAATTGAATAGAAAAGAAAAACAGAAAAAGAAAAGCAATAAATGAAGCATCTTCCCTTTCTCCAGAGTTCTGCAGTTAGATTAAGAGAGAGAGGGAAATGGGACAAGCCTTACTCTGGCTTGAACCCTAAAGAATTCTACTCAAACCAAATGTCAGAAAGCAGTCATCAGCTATTTTCAGCATTTGTGTATTCTAGCTACTTTCACATCAAAATAAACCTTTGGTTACGTTCTCCATCAAAAAGTCAAATTGTGAAATTGTGCTGAAGCCATAAATGCTGATAATCAATTCTAGGGTAGGGGCAAGAAGACCTTCAGTCCCTTCGTGCTGGGATAACAATCACAGAACATGACTGAGATTATGAAGCATTAGCCTGGAAACAAAGTGATCAGCCATCCTCTCCTTCAGAGAGTGAAGATGTCCATTTTAATGGAAAAAATTAGAATAGGGAAATCAGGAGTAAAGATAGGATTAAACAAGGAGTGCACAAAATGAGAAAAAGGAAGGGCACATGCAGATTTACTTCTAACACACCGTGAGCCTGATTGGAAGAATAGAGGAGACCCGGATCGCTGAAGTAGCTTCGCAAAAGGAACACCTAAGAATGCACAGCAGGAAACCAGTTTTAGTCTTGAGAACTTCCTATCTTGGCTGGGGATGCAGCAAAGGAGGCAGCCTGTGATAGTTCTTCCTAAATCCAATCAGAGAAGGCATTTAAATTCCACTATTCTGAGCTACGGAAGGAAGAGGGCTGCTTTAATGTCTTGTAAAGCAATTCCTGTTATCTAGTTGCATACATTTGTCTTGCATAATTCACAGGGAAGGTACATGAAGATACATTAAAATAGACAGCTTTGTACACTAATTTTTAAGATGTTTTTAATTATCACTCCCCTGAGCATTTTATGCCAAAAAAGCAAGAAGAAAAAAGAAACATTTAAGGGGAGCTGGGGAACATTCTGTTTTTTCCTTCCTCAGAAAGAAGAACTGGATCATTGCTTACTGTTGAACAGCAGTAGGAGCTTGTAGGAAAACAAGCAGGATTTTGTGAAGCAAATAAAATCCTACATTTAAATGAAAGACGTTTCAAGATCCCAGGCAGCCTTTTTCCACAAGCTCCTATACTCTCCAATCAGCTGCAAAGGTTTTGACCCCAGAGAACTCTGACTTCATTTGCCCTCTCTCCAGTCAGTGGGGATTACAACGTTTAGTCATTACACACATTCTTTTTGATAAATGTTGTAATTGCTCTGAAAGCAACATGCACACAAATACTAGAGTCAATGTTTCAATAACAGATTATGCAGTTAGTGAATAAGTATAAGCATTTTCTGCACACAATCTGTTAACACGGGATGTCTCTGCACATTTAAGTGCCTTCTTACATTTTCTGGATCTTCCGAAATCTGCCTCTTTCGCTATTAGTAAAATTAAAACACAAATAAACAAAAAATATTTCACCTGCAGACTTAGCACTTGATCATTCCAACATAAACAACAGGATACACTTCATTATCTTGAATTCAGCTTAAATTCTTGAAGCTATGCTGCTTGACAAACCAGTCTTTACAATGGTTTGCCATGACCAACAAAAAATAAAAAACTGAAAGTTTCCATGGACTAAACAATAAAAGGAGCATTCTATGGAGAGTCTAGATAGGTATCTTAAAATGAATGGAAGACTAAAATAAAAGAAATGTTATATGAAATGAATCATTTCCATAAGGCTAGCACTTTAATCATAAATGGTTCACAGGGATATGTGTCAATTAATTTGGTTGTTTCTCGTATTTTTCAGATTTAAACAACAGTAGAGTAGAACTAAAATATCTTGCTTTTTAATTTGACATTTGGAGTTAAAATTGGCAGTGTTCAAATAGTTGACAGTAAGGCTTCATCAGATGTTTCCTAATCTGATTGCATAATTACAAACCATTATTTATGCACACCTAAATGGCTGTTTAGATTGTGTATACAATGGATCTCCAGAGAGAATATTCTTCTATTAATAAATCTTACCTAAGGAAAGTACATGAATTCAAAAAACTTAGGCCAAGTCAAATGGGCTGCCTTGCTTTCAATACACATTTTCAAACATATAAATACCTAATTGTCAGTTTCATAATTTTAAGATTATATTTTTTGGTGCTTACTTCTAAGCCATCAAAGAAACATCAGTAAGATGCAATATATCATAATAAAAATATTTTTAAATTGAGTTTTCTGTGAATTGAATTATTCTAAACAAATATGGCCATTCCATAGTAAAACCCGTCCTATAACTGAATTATGGGCGTGATTGTGCAGTTTCAGGACTGTTAGCTTAATCAAGGACTGCAGAAATGGGAAGCACTTCCATGTGCTTTGCATACATTTGGACTACTACTGCATCAATTAATCATTCCTGCCTTTGTCTTCTGAAGGACAGCATAATTAAGAGGAACTGATTGCATTTCTCTGTCTTACTACATATCCTGTTTACAAAGCTGGAGACATTTTACCTCTAGGTCTCCTTTGGTAATGGATTCTTCTTCCACTCGGAACTGAAGATCTTCAACCTTCCTGTGGGGACAGTTGATTAAAATTCAGATAACTTTGAAGGAAAATGCATTCCTGCTCATTTTTCCATGGACAATGGACAGCAAAGCACCAGAAACATGACAACAGCAGAATAATTTTACAAAGAACACTGAAGAGGAGGAAAACTGTTGTCATTAAAGCACAACTTTAAAGAAGCAGTATTCCTACAGCTCTATGAAAAAGGTATTTTGTTGCAGTTTCTGATGAGTTAGAAAGAAAACCTCTACATCAGAACTATTTCTTTCACCCCCTCATCCTTCTGCACACATTCCACATGTTCTATCAGATAAGAAAACAGAAAGTTAGGAAACAGCTGAGATTCCTGAGAGCCTTCCGGGAGTGTGCTGGACAACTGCATCAAAACTATCACGGACAAACATGTGCTGATTGTCAGGATGGACTGCAAGATGCAGGCTGGAAATACCTGCAAAAGCACAGATACAGCTTGCCTTGCCCATACAGGAGTTTTAGAATGAGAATCACACCATCAAATGTAGAAGTGCTAAGCTGGTATTTGAACTAAAATAAATGTTTTTTAAAGTTACTTCTTCCTTCCCCAAGTCTGGCATACCCCAGTGAACAAGGGGACAGATCTCCTCCTTTAAACACAGTAAGATGTGGCAAAGGAATTGACAAAGATGCCTTCTTTCCTTTGAACTGTGCACACTGCTGGTGCCTGGAGCTTGGCTGACCAATGTAGAAATCATTGCATCAACGTGTGATACAAGGGACAGACGACTAAAACAAAAGGACAATTACAACTTATTATATTCACGGAAGTGGGTATCACCCCTGTGCTATGGGAAACAGAGGACTCAAGATCATTTGACTAAACGTTACCGCTGAGACTGACTCGAATACACATTACAGAGCTTTCAAAGTAAACACACCTAGAGTGACTAGGAGGAAGGAGAAATACTGCTCTGCTGAAGCCCTGAACTGGCTATAAAACGTCACTTCAGCTAATGGGTCGCAGGCATACACAGCACTGTTATGCTGCCTAGCAACACACTGAAGGTGAGCTCAAGGCCATGGAGCACTGCGGAAAAACGGACCCCCCGCAGCCTGGCATCCAGTGAGAAGAGGTTCACAGCCAAGCTATTGGAGGTGCTGCAAAGCTTTTAAAAATTGTTATTACTTAAAATTAAATATTAAGAAAAAAATGCACAAAATAAAACAACAAAAAACCCACACTGCATCATTTTGTAGAGATCATAAAAGTAATTCCATACCCAACTTGACTATTTCGAAAATGCAGTGCAAGCAGGTCCAACAAAAAGGAAGCGTGCAAACTGTCAGGGAATTGCCCAGGTTTAACACTGCACGTTCTCCTCTGTGTGTCCTAGTTTTAGGGAGGCCTTTCAGAGAGGCTGACATTGCAGGGCAGAACACCAGTGTACAGAGCAGGTTCACAATGGGTTTGGTTTCTACACGGGGTTTATCTTTTCAAAAGCACTCGGAATGCATCAAAACAATGCACCAGATCATTTCCTCAAGCAGCTTGAGGAACACATCTACTTGATAATCTCAATTCTTTTCCTCAAATCGTTAAGAACATCAATTAGAAAAGACACTAAAATTGAGGGCTTTGATGATTTCCTGTAAGCTACAGACTCGGTGTGGAAGCACATGAAAAGTTATAAGTTATTCACAAGAGCACTAAACTGTAAATTCCTAATCCAGCACTGGCAGGAAACGGGATTATGAAAATTTTCACTTTGAAGAAGTGTTTCAGAAAGATGAGGCATGATCCATTTGTACCTTATAAAAGTAGGAACAAAATCCATCGCAACTGAAGGCCATACTAGAAGGAATTAAGTTCCATGAAATCCATCTTCCAACAACAGTTACAGCCTCTAAACAAGTCCACTCGGCTTGTTACACAACCAATGCCAGCTACCAAATCTGAGTGGATGTTCAGTCACCAAAAAAATCCCCTCTACCAGCTGTAATTCATCACAGTACAATTTTCTTTGGGTTTCTTTCCTCATCAAATTTAAGAATTTATTTTTAATATTAATTTCAATGAGCAGAAATACTGTTTTATACTATAGCTTCTCATATCTGTATTATTTAAGATTTGTTTCATATTTGCAAGTCACAAAGCATTTACTTTTAATGCAAAGTTTGTTTTATTAACAGCTACAGTAATGAAGACAGTTTTGGGTTACCTTTTCTCTTCCTCGAGCTGATTGAGAAGCTCCACTTTCTCCCTATCAGCAGCCTCCACCATAGCTCGCAGCTGGTCCATTTTTGCTTCCATCTCCAGTACATGCTAATCACCAGGAATAAGAACAAAATCTAAGACAAACATGATATGATTTCTTTTTGCAAGTTATGTATTTATACCTCAGTAATCACAGAATGGCAAAGGGACGAACGAAGAGGCAGGAATGTGATACTCAAAAGATGCACATAACAAAAGAAAACATCACTCACTGAGATGTGGAAAAGGTTTAACCAACATTTGTTAAATGTTACAGGTTGGCTCTTATCAAGCCAAAGCTCCCACACAAAAGATCTCACAGGTTTAGAACATCGCTCTTACTTTCAGACCTTTTCAATTAGAAAACGCGATTTGGGGAATGAAGTCAATTGTTTCACAGTCTGTGTTTTAAGAACAGCAGCATTGCTCTTACCCGGTCGTGTCCATCTCGAACAAGTGCTAATTCCTGCTCTATTTCCCCCACGTGACTGGTTGCTTTTGCAACTTCTGCCCTCTCCAGGTCCCTTTCTGCCAGGAGCTGCTCAATATGCTGCTGCTTCTCTTTCAGTGCCTCCTGCAGGGCTGTGGTACCAGAAATCTTTCTTGCATACCGGGAGGATGTTTCTGTCAACTTCACAAAGCAAGGACATTAAAAACTGTTCTTTATCAAGTGAAAACCAGGGATGTCTCCAAGACTCTACAAACATTAGGGTTAGAGAAGCAACTGTTTTCTGTAACCTATCGTAATTTCTCCTTTAAGTATTTTATTAAAGGATTGTTGGGTTTTTTTGTTTGTTTTTTTTTTGCTTCACCTTAAATTTCTTAGTTTGGGAATTTAACAATAGCCATACCTACGTATTAAGTTTGTTTTGTAGCAATCAGCAGGCAGCACATAGGAGACAGAAGGACTGAAGCGAAAACCAAAGGCTGGCCTCAGTCTGAGGCAGGTTTGGTAGACGCACACAGAGACAAATCCATTAGCTTTCTATGAAGTTTTTTTGCATTAAAAAAAGAAAGGCATCTTTACAGCAAGTAAATAACATTGCCCTTCTCGTTACCAAGTCATTATCTTGGGTCAACAGCAACAGTATAACATTTCCAAATGCTCTATTAAAAGCTTTTGGAAATCCAACTAGCATTTTGTGCCTCTACTATGGCAACAAGACATTCAGGGTCAAGGCGTTTACCTTGACTTAAAAAGCTAGCTTCACAGCTAATACCTCCTGAAGTACATTGGTATCTGATTAAAACATGTTTCCATCCTTGTAATTAAGGTTCTTCTGGAAAAACAAAACAAAACTGAAGGATTAAATGTTAAGAGTATAGCTATAAATGAATTCATCTGTAGAACTACAGCTAGGATGAACCTGAATGGCCCCAAACATGCAAAAGGCGGAGGGCACAACACAGCATAAAATAAGTATACTGAAGACATTCACAGTGTGACTATTCTCTCGTTGCTGACACAATCAGCATACTATACTGATATCACAGGATACTGAATAAAATGTGAAGGTCCATGTTAAGGCTTTACTGTCAGCCCACAAATGGCCACAAGCATCCATTCCTGCAGTCTGAGGTAGCACTGAGTTCAACAGGTTCAAACTAGGGGGCACTCTGTAGCTAGGAGTACAATTTCCAGACTGGATTAAGTTATAAAGTCCCTCCATTTGTGCCAAATAAAAATCTGTGTGCTTGCTGTGATGAGGTATTAACCCCACTGCCCTGACCAACTGCTGACCTCTGCTCACTCATAATCTGCTTCAGTTTTGAAGGACTGTGGTACATCACCTCTGTCCTGTACCTGATGGTAGTGGAGCAGTATGTCAGACAACCAGATACAGACCACTGGGAGTCAGTGATCTCCTTCCAGTCAGATGTACTTTTGCACACTGATTTAGGGAAAAAAAAATATATATATCTAGGGTGGCTGTAGAAAAAAACCCACAATTATTTCTATACTTTTAATTGCCTTGAAAGAGAGGCTTAAATTCAGCTTTCCCAGAACATCACCATTTTACTGCTGTAACCCAAGATTAGGACATTTATGTAACAGTAACTTAAAAAGAACCCATAGTACGTGTATTAGGTGGAATTAGTGTGTTAGAATTCACCCAAGCCACTGAACTTTGCAACATCTCGTCTAGATGAATTCAAGGGATTAAAAACCAAATCAAAAAGAAAGAGGCTTCTTGTCAGCAAAGACTTGATAATTGCTACTTCTGTATTTCCCAGCTGACTCATCTCTTTAACAGCAAAAGAAGGCCTTTTACATTTTGAAAATTTGAAGATTTCCTCAATGAAACAAGTTATGCTATGGGAGCTTCAGTGCATAGCAGATCCTCAAATACAAACCCCATATGACAGAGGCAGTGCTAGGAAAAATGAATTGCTAAATGCAGATTTCAGTCATAGAACACTGATGCCTTGTTGGCATCACAAGCCCCTTTCTTGTTGTAATAACTCAGTTAGCCCAAATTAACTGTGTGAGCTTAAATATTCAAATACTCAGCTACTCTTCAGGGCTAGCTAAGATTTTCTTCCTTCATGCATGCTTTGAATGAAAAAGAGCACAATTAAATGCATACTGTACTCTCTCCAAGATGTGTTCTATCCTCAATTTATGCAAGACCACAGGCCAAGTGCCACGTGGATTCCTGCTTGGGAATGTAAAGCATGCAATAGAAAAAGAAGCTTACTAGTCCTGTACGGCTCGGCTTGCTGCTTACTGAAGATGCCACAGAACTGAGGGAACTCAGGGAAGATGCACTTGGGCTTCGTTTCAGGGCTGCAGGAGTCGCAACCACTTTTCGCACCGTCGTCTTTGCTTTTGCCGGTGTAGTCGATGGGAATCCAATCTTTGTAACTTTGTGGACAGGAGCAAACAAACCATATTTTGGCTGACACTGAAAGTACCTTTAAAAAATAAAGCAAACAGGTCAGAGTACTAATTTAACTTCTGGGTTTCCATGTACACAATCTGGCTTCACAAAGACTTCTGTTCAGTAGCGTACCAGTAATAAAGGAAAAGGTAACAGCTGCTGACAGCCTCATCTATATTAAGTTGCAATTTTTGTGGTTTTTTTTTTAGCAAACCAAAAAAACAGTGGAATTGGTAAAGGGCTCTGATAGGCTGCAACAACACTCTCACAGAGCATTTCAGAAATGCAACAGGAAGAACCCCTTTCGCGCTCAGTTTCCTACAAATTCCATTCAGATTTGAACTTTAACACACACATCCTTTCTCTCTGAGCTGCCAGCAAAGAAGGTGAGAACAGAGTTAAAAATAAAATCAGGCTATAATTAAATCAATAAGCTATATATTTCACTGGATATACACATATTTGATTATAGAGAAATTACAAACAAAAGACATCTAAAATTTGAAGTTGTGATCATCCATGATAAACTGTCTTTATAAAGGGCAGTTCCTTGTACCAAGTGAGAAATAATGGTCACTTGTGATAAGAATTAATGCTTTCTGAAAGCATCTGTGTGGTTACCAGTCTTTAAAATGAGGCTGTGGGAGCTTTCAGTTCATGTAACGTGTGACAATTTCCCTTAAATCCAGCTTTTAGACATAAGGTATTTTCTTAACTGAGAATTCATTCCAAGACGAAGAACCAAGCAGAAGTTCAAAAAGCAGGAAATTGTGATTTCCATTACCAATCTATGAATAAAACTCATGTGGATATTAGGAGAGATCAACTGTTCCTGTAAATGTGGGGTTGATGCAGACTTTCAGAGAGGTGCAGTTGTCACAAAATTAAAATCAGTGTGTAAGGATCCCCTCCTACCACTGCAGTCAGGTTCACAGCCTAACTACTCCTGATGGAAAGTTACATGTAAAACACTACAAAAAGAACATGATGAAACACAGAAACACGAGATCTTGGAGGTGGCTGCTATCTGATGATAAACTAACCTTGTTCCAGCAACAGCTCCATCATTCTTTCCCAGAGGTTCATCCAGCTCTACTCCACACCATTCTCCTTTAGCAAAGTCAGTTTCTCCCAAGAAACGCACAACTCCAGCTTTTGTTCCACCCACCTGAAACAAGAAGGCACAGAACCATTTTTAATGCATTATAAGTGAAACACACAATCCAGTGGAAAAAACAATCACTACAACCACATTCACAAAGCACATTAATGATGTGACCACTTTTAATTCAAGCTGCATATTCCTTGCCTATAGATTTTGTATTAATACACTGAAGAAATGTGCACAACCAAATTGTCTGGGAAGAGAAAATGAACAGTTCAGAACCTACACAGCATAACTCCCTTGCATTAAGGAGAATTTAAACAGAGCGTAACGCACAGTGTAATTTAAACTGACAAAATTGTAGGTGTTGATTTAAACAGCTATTTGAGTTCTCAGGGAGCAGTGGGTTTTTTCCCTTTTTTTTTTTTTTTTTTTAACCTTTTTAAATAGAAGATTAGAAATCATTTGTTTCCAAACCTAAAAAACTACGTCTTTACAGCCATTGTGATCATGTTCCTTACAATGCCACTTACAATGTCTGAAAGATACAGCTTTTTATAACGCCCAGGGAAGGGAGGAATTAAATTAGGTGAAGAAAGGAGGAATTAAACAAAGTGTGACTGCCACTTGCCAAGAAAGGCAACAAGCCAGACCTGCAGGACACTTGCAGGTCAGAATGCCAATATGCTGTGCCCCATTTGTGAGCAAATCTGTTCAGCCTGTATCTAGCATTATGAAAACAGGCAAATGTTGGTGAAAACTCTCTTTTCAAGAGAGTCTGGATTCAACATGGATGTTTTCAGGGTCACTGCTTTTTTTTCCTTGTATTTTCCAGCACATGTTATGTGATGAGGAATATATTTTGCAGCCTTGACAGAAAGCTTGGATGTAACCTGCTAACACAAAGACTGCATTTTTCCTTTCTCTATGCATTAAAAAGTATGTTAGGATTTTGACATTGTATTTCTTGGGGGGAGCCTCCCAGTATAACTAGAGAACTGCATGCTTCTTGTACCATAAATTAAGATGCACAATCACAGTAACTAGGTAAGTCATATTAATACATTTGGGAAGTGTTCACACAATAGGTTAACTGTAAGGAAACTGGAAATGGAGTATATTATCTTGCTTGAAAGCACCAAGTGTCCTCAAAGTACCACATCAGTGCCCAGCACATGACACATTTGTGCTCTAGCTTCTAACTCATCAGCTTCCCAGAGCTGACAGCTCTGCTGGCAATTCAAGGCTTCAGCTGATGAGTAGAAAATCCTAATCCACACAGTTAAAACCTCAGAAAACCAAGGAAGAACAATTAACCCTTTTGACATTACTAAAAGGGGAAAGCAGATAGATTTCTTTCATCCCTGTATAATGCAGCAGTTCCCTTTTCTTATCTCATCAGAAGGAGTCTCGAAACAAGGTTTAATCTGCAGGTCACCTTTACGTTTTACTGGAACAAATTATTCTTTCTGAGAGAGTAAAAACACACAGTTTACAGTCATTGTGACTCAGCCTAATACAGTAACTAGTAGAATGTTTGGTATCTGGTGCTCTTGGCAAAGAACAGACAAACTTCCCCTCTAAGGAAAAAGGAGTACTGCTTTAGTGAGAGAAGATCACAACAACCAGAACAGACCCATGGAGCCCAGACCTCTATGCCCCTGTGGCACAGAACAAGAAAGATGCAACATCATTAACAGTACTTTCTTGGAAGAACTACTCCTGAAATCCACAAATATTTATCCACTCATATACAGAACTTTTTCTAGAGGTTAAATAACACCAACAGAAGTACAAAATACACAACAAATAAATATAAAACATCAAAATAAAATTTAACAGAGCAGCAGGAGGGAAAAATTTGCATGTGTCTGTGCTTTCAGTGCTGTATCAGTATCACTGTCTGTGCTACCAGTCCCAACAGTCTCCACGTTGTCCTTATTCATATTCCTTTTCTAGAAACTTCTGGTGTTTTTGTGTTTTTAAGAACATCTGGATGCCATCTTCGGATGAAAAGGAAGACTGGTGTGCTGTGCGTGTGGTATTTCCCTTGTCAAACCTGCAGTTTTCTGCCTGAATAAAGTGAGTTAAATCAACAGAGGTAGTAAAGAACCCATTAAAGAAAGGAGGCAGGAAAACCAAAACAATAGCCCAGATAAGAAGTGTCCCCTGGAAGAACAGGCAGGTCTGCAGTAATACAGAAGGACTCCTCAGGAACTGCTAGCTGGCCAAGGATTCCTACTGGGGTCTTGTAGGAAGTCAGCTACAAAAATAAATACAAACCCACCACCTTCCCTTAGCAAGGTGTGTGGGGTGTGCAAGACAAAGCTCTCTGAAGCACGCTGCATGCAGAGTCTCCCAGAGACAGGAAAGCTGCTGGGAGCTGTGCTGCCAGCTCAGGCTGTAAGTGAATCCCTCACTACGCAGAGCTGCTGCCAGTAAAACACTGGTTAGTCCTCGGTGTGGAATATGCACTCCTTTCTGTTCCATACCTTAGTCCTGCTCATTGCCACTCTCAATAAAATAATGCATGGTATTTCTGTCAGTTGCAAAGCATCCAAATCACTAACCAGGAGATGGTCTCGAAGCAAAGCTCCTGTCTCATCCCATCCTATCCCACCCCATCCCCGCCTCACAGTGTGTGCCTGGGACCACAGCCCAGTGCCCGGTGGGAGGGAGAAAACAGAGGAATTCACAACCCAGGAACATATGGGGACACACAACGTGAGATCCCAGGAGAAACAGCAATGTGACTATGCTTGTAACCATGGCACCGGGCTTATTTTTAAACAAGATGTAAGGAAGAATGCCAAAGAATTTGTTTTTTTTCCCAAAGCCAGTCAAGCTTGCCTGAATAACCAGCTACTACATTTCTGGCTTCTGCAAGTACTGAAGTGCTTATCCTTACCAACAGCAGCAGCCACAGCACGCTGTGGCAGTAAAGAGCTAATAGCATTGACGACACTCTAGATCTGCAGTTCTGCTCAGTTCTAAAAGCTCTGGTTTCAGATACAGGGTCAGCACCCCTCGCTGCAGACCCCTGGATCTGCTGAAGACTTCCAGCCACTCACAGACCTCTGCCTCAAACAACAGATTTGCCTCCAGCTGCAATTAAGCACTCTGCATGTAATGCCACAACTGCTTGGAAAGAGGACCATCGCTGATTCCCTTGGCAGAACAATGTGAGGTGCTACAGTAAGATACAAGAAGGTAAAGGCTTTCTGTGCTCAAAATTTGCTGTATACAAACAGACTTATACACAGTGCTCTGTATATTCCAATATGGAAAAAGAGAACTGTTATTTACATGATTCAAAGAGAAGCTGCTAAAATTATAGCAAAAAATAGAAAAAAAATAAATAAGACATCACAGTTGCCAGTGGATCTACTTCTTAGCATTGCATGAAGGACTAAAAAAGCCCCCCACTAACAGGTTCTAAAAGTTATATGGAAAAATGAGGCACCATTACCATAAAGACAGTTTTCCATGACCTTCATTCATGCCAAGGTGGGTCACTAAATAATACTTTAAAAATATATTTGTTTAGATCAGTTTTCACACCCAAGATAGTCAAGCCGTGAAATGTAAAGCAGTAACACCTGAGAGTACGTAGGTTAGGCTACTGGCCATTGTGAGGTGAAGAAATTTGCTTGGAATTTACTTTTATTATTCCAAACACATGGGAAAAGCGATTAAGTTCCATTTATCACTTTGTAACTAGGCTTACATTAATTTGCTGCAATGCAAAGTGAAGTAATAGAACAGGTTTGTAAACTTGAGGCTGTTAATAACTTCAAAAACTTTCTGATGAAAGCATGTTGGGACCAGCAAGTCAGACTTTGTGAGAGTGTCTGAAGAGCTGCATTTCCAAAGACAAGGAAAAGAGAGAAACAAAAAAAAAAGTCCAGAAAAAAATAGACTGTCTAAGAAGTGAAACTGATATTAAAACTGTGTGTTTAAGACATACAAATCACTTAGAAGAAAGGATATCTTCTGCCTGAAACTTGGCCTGTGAAATGGCACCACTTACTCATGCCTAAGGACTGATACATGGTGCCTCTCCAAAGAATCATTTTGAAGCAACATCTCTGTTGTGATGTAGCCTGGGCATTTCCAGAACCACTCAAACCACAGCGTCTGTGTAACATGGAACACATCCCGACAAACACAGCATACTTGAAAAAAACCTGGATCTTCTGATCAGAATCTTCTTTCTCCTGTTTCTCAGAACTTAGAGGAACCAATTCCAGCTGGCAGAAGAAATTGTATTTAATTGATCCTTTCACCTACTCAAGGCCAGAGGAAACCATCAGGTCATCTCCTCTGGCTCTCCTGATCCAGGCTTTTATATTTTACCCACTTATCTCTGTAATTACTGAACTAATGTATGTGTTGATGTTTTTAGATCAGAGCTGATAACCATAAGAAAGGTTCAACTGACAGTCTATTTTCATAGTTAATCACTCCATTATTATAAACATATTTACATTTGAAATAAAACAAGTCTGACCGTGGCTTCTAGATGTTGGGTCACACTACAGTTTTATTTGTGAGATTACAGAGCTCTTCTGCAACTGGCACTCACCCTGCAGGAGCGTGTGTTGTAAGCAAGTCACCTCCAGCCTTGCCTTCATAAATGGAGTCCTTCAAACCTGTAGGACCTAGTTCACATGGGTTCTCTGACATGCAAAAGATCTGTGAAAGCACAGTGCAGCTCCAAAACCTGTGGTATACGCTATGTGTCTTCCACTTAGTTATCTGTTTGCATATAATTTAAAAGGAGTTACCTTGGAAACATCTACTTTTCTATCAAATTTGGCCACAGCCGGCCAACAAGTTCAAAATCAAGGCCAAGGCAGACAGAGTTAATGTGCAATAAGACACAGAGACGTGGTGTTATCACACAACCCTTCACTGCCAGAAGAAACTAATTCAGTAATTAAACATGATCTGCTATTGAGGCTCAATTCCTGCAGTCAGTTGATTCACAAAGGAAGCAATATAAAAACCTAACAGCGACCGCACACTCCAAAAGCCACATGTGAATTCGCCATCACAAAAAA